CAAACAACTGTGAGAAAGTCTTGGTTCTACATTACATTGTTCCAAGTTTTGTCATATGTTATTGGAACACACCCATTTACTTCCTGATATAACAGCTTCAAGATGCTCCAACCAAACAAATATAAATAAATGAAATATTCATTGGTCAATATGGCCTGAAAAAACAATACAATGTCCTGCTGCTCTTTTGTGACTATGTATTGTGTTATATAATAGCGTTATACATAATGTGCAAACTATTCATTTATTGTTCATAATGAACCTGTCTTTAAATAGACCCAGTTGACCCCAAGTTCAGTTCAGTCTATGATCACTTACTAATCCGGTTAGAATTGGATTAGCATAGAACCCATGTGGACTTTGACACTTCAAACACCTTAAGAGTCCATATATTTTGAATTCACTGGAAATGGGGGAATGGACCCAAATTGCTTGTCTCCATGGAGATGTTATTGTTTACTTGAAATGTTTCACTAAATTGTTACCCCATATTATGTCAGTCTGAAAATCTATTAGAAAAGTAGCACATTATAACAATTATGTCAGCTTGACATTAATTCTTCACAGGTAGCACAGAAATCTTGTTTTTAGTAGGAATTTTATCTTCATGTTCCACATATATGAAACAAACCTCTAATAGAATTAGATATGTTGTTATGTCTATGTTTTTTCAGATTTGCCAAGTTCAGCAAATTCACCAGTTTTAGCTCCCTAATAAGTTAGTGAAAAATCTATCTACCACACAAAAGCAGGCCGGTGTCATTGCTCACTATTAATAGTACACAAAGAAAGGCACTGAAATGATCATGTGGCAAAAATGATCTCAGACATTGCCAATGAAGCAAAAATGCTAATGATCCGAGAAAAGCACAAGGTGAGGAAAATATGCAGGAAATAATGTACCAGCACCAGTCATTTAAAGGCTTGAAAACATTGATAGAGTAAATCTGTCTCATTATTGCTGCCCGAGGCACTGGGATGGTCTCTGAAACTTAATGATAATACTATCCCATAGATAAACATCGGAACAGAAGGAAATCTGTTGGTCAGTTTTTGGAATTTATTTCACCAAATAGATATTCTATGTGGAGATTAAAATGCTGAGTAGTTATAGTATCTATTTCATTTTATTCTATGGTAGTTTTGATATCACTTTAATATTAATATCTTTGTCTCATTTTTGACAATCCTAATGTGACCCTATAATAACTAGTATGCCCATTTGAACGTATGGTCTTTTTTGAAGTATCAGTAATGACAATCTCACAAAATTGGGTCTTTCCTGAATATTGTTAGAATAATTTTACCACAAGTTAATATTTAAGAAACTTCTAATATGTACTAATGATTCACTTTTCCATAGTATCTAAATCGAGACACATGTAACAATGTCTGCTTTCTTCTCTTACTTTTGATACTGTTTAAACGATAAATAAATACTGCATACATTTATTAAGAAATACAGCCGTAAATCCAAAACATTTGCCATACTCTTTGTCTGATTACAAATTCAAATGAAACCCAGAATCTCTCTCCTCTAATGCTTCTTTTTGGTGCACTAATAGAATTCCCCTGATTTTACCTCCCCCCACAAAAGAGCGAGAAAATTGAAAGGAGCCTGCCCTGTGCTGTACTTTGAGGATTGTGTGAATAGTGTGCCCCTCAGCCTGCCTGCCTCTCTGCCCGCCTGGCTGCCCCACATACGGCCGCTGAATACAAAGCACCCACTCAGTAAGAGCAATCACTACGGGAGACCACTCTATCTGCATCAATGAAGTCATCAGCACAGTGCCCACAAATACATAGCCATTCTGGTCACCTATAGTCCATTTGTGCATGTATGTACACACTCAACCCCAGGACTCTCCCAGTTCCCCACGCATAATGCATTCTTTTCATCCCTTTGAGGCAGCGACAGGGCATGAGATGAGTGCTTGGTGCTGATTTGAATATTTAAATTATTTATTAGCTCAAAAACAAGGAAACAGAGACATGCTGAATGTAATTTGTGTTTGATATGTGTTCCGAATGCACGAAGAGTGACTGAAATGGGAAGAATAGCCATTGTACAATTTGTTAGGACATCTGAATTTCAATAGTTGCAGATGTCTTGCTTTATGCTTTTTTACACTGCAGCTAGTGTTTTCACAATACTAAAATTTAAACCTCGATTCCAATACTAATAAAAAAGCTTGATACTGATTTTAATACTACAATAACATGGTAGATAATGGAGCAGATTTTCCCTCGCAAGATTGTTTGAATTAAACAATTTTCTATTACTATTACCATATGGCTTTATACTAGTTCCAACAAACAATACTAAATTATTCAGGAAAGGTCAAATTTTGTCTTATGATTTTGTACAGTATCAGTATTGTGTATCTAGTTTTGTAAACAGTTTATAAGTGTCTCAAGTACAACTAATGACAATACTAATAGCTCACTGAGGAACTGTATTCAAAAGTGAAGGGGAATTATAAACTGAGTGACGTCATTGTAATACATCTTTTACCAGTGGTTCCTCTGAGTCTGTGTATTATTGTGGGTCAAGAGCATGAGAAAGTCACTCTCCATTTGGAACAATCCTGGGAAATGTATGAATTAAAAAACTCACACAGTTGTGATACTGACAGCAAAATGTACAAAAATGTTCCTGGGCGTGTTCCTAGGATCTTTTATTTCACAGATAAATGCTCTACCAATTTAGTTACAGTTGTAATTTTCTTCTTTCTTTGAAGTTTTATTACATGGAGTTGGTCTCTTTTGTCCCTGTGTTTCAATGATGTGCCAGTATTTCAAACAGAATAATTGTATGAAAATATTAAACTAAATAATTGAAATAATAATTAAAATTCTCTAAATATTATAATTCTGTCTGACTCATCTGTTTCTCTACCTTACCCCACTTGCTCTTACAATGGTAAAAGCCTTCTAACTCATTCTCTCTGCCCTCTTTCTTTTTTCAGCCATGTCTGAGTTACAATCTGCAGACAAAGGAAGTCCTTGGCTGGCTCCCTGACGCTGGCTGCTTCCCTACAGAAATACTGTTAATGCTAATCAAGCCCTGACGCAAAATGACCAGTGTGCTGTTCAAGTCCCTGAAATATGTGTCCATATATAGGTCAGCAGTGTAGATGGTTAATGAAAATGTGTGAAAGAGATCAAGTCATAATCTTTTGATCTAGGAAAATGTAGACTCAATTCAACCTCATACTCACACTCACATTGTACCTTCAAAGACCCTAGAGTGATACAGTTCCTATTTCTGCTCACTATTGTTCCTGCCACTACTTCCACTGCAGGGGATATGACTGCACAATAGATGAAAGAGATTCTTGGGCTTGTGTACATTCGTATCATTTCAATGTTTGGATTTAACGAATCTCTTACATCACAGTGATATATCAGGTTATATTCCCAAAGTCTATTTTGAGTAAATCCTGTAGCAAGGGAATTCAGTGCATCCTGTGTAAAACCTGAATTTATTAATAAAATTTGAGATAACACACACATTGTTATCCTCAAAGCAGCTGCAGTCCAGAGTTATATAATTGTACTTTCTGAAATTGACTACTACGTTCATTTTCAACCAGTGTGTCATCTGGTGTGCCTCAAAGTATTGCCAGGCGAGCCTTGAAGAAATGGCCAATTTGAGTCAACTGGTCCACATTGGAGTGTCTTGAGCAAACTTGTACACCAAGTAAGAAAGCAAAACAATCACCATGTGCAATGTTTTTTGAAAAGGACTGGTTTTGTAATATTTGAATCTTTTCAACTAAAGCAGTGCGCTGTGAGGCAAAAAAAAAAAAGATAGAAAAATATTGGTCTAGCTGAATGTTCAGCTCATATTGTTTCCAGTAGGTTTTGTACATTTTGGTCCATCAGTTTAGTGAACACCCACCTCTTTTTGAGTTTCCGTCTCATCCATCACATTGGCCCCAGCAGCGAGCCTAATTAGTCGTGCATCTCTGTTGTGTCTTGTGTTGTGGGTAATTATGTGTTAATTAGGGGAATCCCTGCAGTCTTAGTGTGATGCACCTGGACATGTAGGTTTAGATCTGTGACCCTGACAGAGTACATGCAGGGCTACAAAAACAACCACTTGTCTTTGTCTTATGAAGGTAATTACTATATCAAGAAGTTGCAGATGACTGAATCTTATCTCTGCTACTATAATTTTGAGATGGATTACAAGGTTAACATTCTATTTTACGGAAGGATGCACTGGTCCAACTTTTTCAGTTCTGATACCGATTCCAATATTATAGCTTCTCTTGATACTCCATTTGCAGATACCAGTGCAGGGATTGAAAAGAGCATTTATTTGAAAAATGAAATAAGACAGAACTGATTGAAATGTGTTATCTACTACAGAATAACTTTGTATAAATAAAAGTTAAAACATTCTCTGACCTTTTGGGCCAATTACAACCAGTAAATAGTCTTATTATATCAATTAATACATTCAGACAGGATATTGTCTGAACCAGTATTTGGAAGCCAATATCTGATCCTGCAAATATTTCAGTATCATTGCCGATATCCGATATTTTAAGGCTGTGTAACACCATATTATGCATTTATTTATATCAACCAATGGTAATCTAGTTAGTCTGCCTCATTCTCATGATAGGATTAACTGAAAGTGTGTAACGGGGTTGTGCATTCATTAGAATTTTAAGTTGTGATCCAATAGTTTAACATTGTCAATGATATGCTTGCTTCTTTTTAACTGAGAAGTCTTTAGCCAAAATGTGTTTGTAAGAGCATGTGGTTTGGAGCAGAGTTCACACTGGATGAATTAATTTGACTTAATTTGACACTGATTAAAGATCTGTCTTCTTTATGTTCAAAATCATGATCGCTATGAAGAAATTACGCCCATCGTAATATATAAAAAAAAAAAGAAAAAGATAAAACTATGTAATAACATAACTTACTGCATCAAAGTAAAGAGAACTAGACTTGAAAGATTTACTTGTTTCATTCTTTTCTAGTCGTGCCATCAAGACCAACCAGGACCTCCTCTCTGAAACTCCATGGACAAACATCCTTTACGATGACTTCTGGGGCACCCTCCTCACCCACAGCGGCAGTCACAAGTCCTTCCGCCCACTCTGCACCCTCTCATTCCGCCTTAACCACGTCCTCCACGGCCTTCGTCCATGGGGCTACCACCTGCTCAATGTTCTGCTGCACGCCCTGGTCACAGGCCTCTTCACGGTCATCAGTCGCACCCTTCTTGGTTCCTGGTGTCTTTTGGCTGGGCTCCTGTTCGCCTCTCACCCGATCCACACTGAAGCTGTAGCAGGTGTGGTGGGGAGGGCGGATGTGGGTGCTGCCTTGTTTTTCTTGCTCTCTCTCCTTTGTTACATGAAGCACTGCAGGCTCCGTGAGGGACCACACAGAGGCCATAGTTGTTGGGGCTGGCTCCTGGGGAGTCTCTGGTGTGCGGCGGGTAGTATGCTGTGGAAAGAGCAAGGTGTCACGGTGCTGGCTGTGTCCGCCGTCTACGACCTGTTTGTGTTTCAACGGCTGCGCTGTCGACAAATACTTCAATACCTGCTAGGAAAGGTAATGATCTATAACAGAAGAAGAAGCGGATAACAGAATGAAGTAAAACCATAGGTTTAGGTCGTAGCTACTGCTTTATACTCTTAGGCCAGTGATTCTCAAGCTTCTTTAGAACATACACAGAATTTAGTTCCTATATTTACTTTAAAGGCCCATATAATGCTTTTTTCTGATCTATGGTGTGATGGTGTTGTTTTCTCATCAAAAAACATACCTGGAGCTGTGTTTTGTTTCATTCACACATGTTTAACTCATAAATCCTGCACATTTAGGCTGAGTTAGGCTCTCATTCTGAAAACACTCTGTCCCACCTTGTGATGTCATGTTTTAATATAGGAGGTGCTCCACTCTGTTTTCAAATTCCACACACCTTCACTAGAATCATTTGGCTGATTTCAGCCCTAAAATTGCCAATCTCTACTGAACTAATGGTAGAAAGTTGTTGTTAACTTGAAAACATGTGTGAATGAAACAAAACACAACTCTGGGTATGTTTTTGATGAGGTAACATTATATCATGGCTAAAACCTCATGACAATCATATAGGGCCTTTAATTATTTAAAGTCCATTTTATTCACGTTTTTGCTTTTTTGCTCTTCTTTGGGTATTTTTTTTTTTAATCTACTTTAGACGTGAACTAACTCGATGATCAGTCTGGTATAGATTTAGCTGTACTCGGGAAGCCAAATCTTTCCACTGGGAGCACTTGGTGTGAAAAGTTTGAGAGCCTCTGTATTGTACAAGTATGAATGCTACTTAAACTATTTTGACACAAAACCAGCTACCCCCATCATAATCTTTAATTACATTCAACTTGTGACTACACACCTCAAATTGCATTGTCCATTTAAATTGTCTTTGAAGTTCTTTAGTAACACCACATGTGGTCTTCTTGTGTGGAGCTGTTGTTTCCTCTTCCTTCCCTCAGAGGTAGAACAACAAGTCAGCTGCTAAATGCTTCATGCTGTTGGATGTTTCTGGGTGGTTTATTATCTGCTGTGCATACTTGGAAATTGCACGTGTCACATACTGTTTGCTTTTCATTAGCAGTGTAATGTGGAATGCAGCTTCAAGTGTAAACTCCACAAATCATGAGTACAGACTGGTCCTAATTTGTCAGCTGGTAAACAGGAAAACATAAACATTAACTCACTGCAGCGCCATCCCATTCTTCTGTTTTCTGCAGTAAACAGTTGCATGTTGATGCAGGCAAACCTAGGTCTTAGCTGCCGCATGGGTGTGTGCGTAGTAATAGAAAATGAGGTCAAAGTGGTAAGAGCATTTTGAGCAAGGTTGCATGAGTGGATGAACTGGAACAATATAATTATGGCCTTTAATTAGTGCATCTCATAACTGCCAAGAAACAATGACTAAATGTGTTGCACAATGTAAGTAAAGCATTATGACATATATATAAAATATATTTAAATGGTCAGTAAAAAACACTAAGTAATCAGATAACCCAATAATTAGATTTGAATGTTTTTATGTGTGAAATCTAGTGAAATCTAACCATTAAAAACTCTTGATGACATTCAGAAAGAAATCTACTCACACTTTTCAACAATCTGTTAACTCCAGAAATCTTGATAATGATCAGTTTCATTTCCTATAAACTCTACTCTTAAACATCCTATATTACACAAAATTAACTTGTGAGCTTAAGCCATGTCATAATGTTGTTACCTCCTCAAAAACAAAAAAGTTGTGTTTTGTTTCATTCACACAGTTTGAGTAACACTGCATTATTACTCTGGCTACATCTGCAAAGCTCAAAATGCTCTGTTCCACCTTGTGATGTCATGTCATCAAGTTAACAGCTACATTTTACCTTTACTTCAGTAGAGATTGGCAATTGCAGGGCTGAAATCATCCAGATGATTCTAATGGAGATGTAAGGAGTTTTAAAACACAGTGGAGCACTTCCTGTATTACCACATGACATCACAAGGTGGATACAGGATAACTGTGTGTTAAACATTTGTGAATGAAACAAAACACATCTCCAGGTATGTTTTTGATGAGGAAAAAAATTTAAATAAAATGAAAACAATCTGTAATATGGGCCCTTTATGTGCTGTAATTGCACTTATTAAATGCATGATGAGCATAATAAAAAGTCCCCTTGGGTTTATGCACAAGGACAGTCGGCTCTGAGCACACAGAGCTGTTTATAGCTCTGTCGTCGCATGGAGCTGTCTGTAAACATCTGCACTTGCTATTAACATCCTTCAGTTGGATGCTTTTGCCATTACTGAAGGGCATCTTCCTTTGTGGTCATGCCTGGCAAAATAACAACCCAAAAGTGTAATTACAGAGCTTGGCATCAACAGCAGAGAACTCCACAGAATATGAAACCAAATTGTTAATTAATAGTAATAAATAGTGTCCAGTGATTTACCTATATTTGCCTTCAATAATTACTAATACATCCCTGTCACATATTTGATTTATTTTTTTAAAGAAAAGCATTTTTAGATTAAAGAAACAAATACCTTGCCACAATCCTGATTTAAAATGTTGAGCTGGTAGATAACAATATTTAAAGTTATTTATTCAGTCGTTCACCTTAGCAGTTAAATCATTTTTTGAAGTTTTTTCTTTGAAGTAATAGATATTCATATGTTACTGTTTTCCTTCTGAAACCAGAAGCCACAATCTGAAAGACATAAAGCTCCATAATGCGTGCCAGTGTTCCACTCTGTTTCAATATGGCCTAAAAGATTTCATCACCCTGAATATTTGAAGTGTGGTGAAAAATTTTTCCCCCTGTTCATCCATCATAGAGCGGTATCCCCAGCCACCCTCGCCCTCACCCGTGCCCAGACACAACAGTCTACAGGGGAGTCCCAGTACAAGCAGCAGGTCTGGTGCCAGTCCCAGTGCCGCTCACAGCTGCAGCACATCTGGATCATTTATCACTATGGAAATGCCCTCTACTGCTGCCTCGCTCACAGTTATCAGCTTGTTATGTGCCAGGCGAAAGCTTCAGGGCAATGGTTTCCCTTGATTAGAAACCAGACGTCGTATTAGACATGGGAACACAATACAAATGGAGAGTAAAGCAAGGGAAACTATGCTCTCATTTCCTTTCCTTTATCTCTTATTTGACCATCTCACTTGCACTAATGTCTAACACAAGCATCCAAAATACTTCACTGCCTTTTTTGGTGAAATACTTTTTTGAAGGGCCCATTTTACACTATTTTCTGATCTGTGTTATAATGTTGTTTCCTCATCACAAACATACCTGGTTTTGTTTCATTCATGTATGTTTAACCCACAAACCCTGCATAGTTGCGTTCTTCTCTCGAACAGAAAGCATGCTGTTCCACATTGTGATGGTATGTTGTAATACAGGAAGTGCTCCACTGTGGTTCATACCTTCAGTAGATTTACATGATATCAGACCTGGAATTGGCCATCTCTTTGGCCATCTCTACTAAACAAAAGGTAAAAGGTAGCTGTCAACTTGAAAACTACCATTTTGTGACTTCACAAGGTCGAACAAAGCGTTTTGAGCTTTTTAGGTAAAATCCTACAAGAAATCATTTTGTGTAATATAGGGCTTTTATTGACACCAGTGACTTTTTAAAATTTTTATTTTATTCTTAGAAATCTATACTGATGTGACCTCCTGACCTGTGCTACAACCACCAGTCTGACAACAAAGGATTAAGTATTTTGACAGTTTACTATCATGATCTTGTGCACGATAGATTCCCCCAATATCAAATACACATATTCCACTTCTACTTCTACAATTACTTATTAGAATACTTTGAAGGATTAAGGATCAAGGATCTGATTTGCCTTTCAAATTATTTCTAACCACCTCCACCCCACTTCCCACGAGTAATAAGGCGATGCAAATGACCCGTTGTGCAGTCAGGAGGGAGGCCACGTGTGTTTAGGCCAGAACTGTATTTCTCGCTGTGTTTGAGCCACACTCCATTTCTCATCCTATTAACTGTGTAATCAGACTCAGATGAGGCTTCCTATGATACAAGGCAGTGCAGCAGAGGAACAGATGAAGATAAAGGAAGGTGCAATAGCACAGTTGAGAATGCCAAAAGCAAAATTACTGTAATGTGTCATCATAATGAGAACATAATGTCTCTTTTATACTGACAGGTGTAGAATAGAGAGGGACACATTAAAATTCCAAAATACTTATGTGAACCTTATTTGGCATAACTTCAAACACAGATAAAAATAAGGGCTATATTCAATTTATCCTGTGTGATATAATATATCCTGCAGTGCTGTACTCCATAATAAAAAATAATGATTATATAATGATATAGATGGGTTGAAAGTATGTTAAACACAGATCTGAAATCCTGTACTAGAACAAATTTAAACCAGGGCTGAGTCAAAACTGGAATAAGTTTGCTAGCGCATTTAGGACTGAGTGAATCATCAGGACCCTAACATTAAAGTGGCAGCATAACAACTGATTAGTAATACATTGTGCAGCTTTTATTTCATATTCTGTATAAAGTCGTCAAACCAATATTGTTGCACCCTGCCATACTGAAAAATGTTAATAGACAGACTTTAATCCCTGAAAAAGTAAATGTAATCCACTTAACTTATTTTAGCTCTCATTGGTCCTAGTACTTTTCTTTAAGGCATTTATCTCCTAACAAAAGTTAATTTAGTTAACATTAAAATTAAATGACATGCATGTTGTCTTCCCCCCTTGGATATTTAAGGTGATATTAGAAGGGGATATGTAAATGTTAAATTAATGCTAATGTGTATTATCTACCTCCGTAACCTATAGCTCATTACAGGTGTTTGTGCCAGCAGCAGGCCTTTTACCAGGAGGAGTGCACTGTAATTAGGTCACTCTATCAAAGTTGGCCTTTCAATACCATCCACAGCTCTGATGTCTACGTTAAATTACCCCAAGTCAACGCTGTCCAAAACACATAAGAGAGTTGGGAAAAGATCTGGATGTGGGCTTCAATTTAGCTTTCATCACTATTTTGTATGTCACTGGTAATTTATCAAATATACTTTGAACGTTATTCCAAAACTGTGGCACTCTATAGATGAGTGCCTAGTGGTTACAATACACTTGGGCCTAATGTCCCTTTCATTATAGTATGAAAATGGCCCAAATGTACTATCATGTGCAGTAAATATTAGGTGTCATTCAATGTGTTGAAAAGATTGTTTTAATTCTACATTTCCTTGGAAATGGCTTTAACCATTTCATGCAACAGCCGACCACACAATCTTGAAAATAATCATGGAAGGCTTAATAGTGAGGTACTCCGTTGAAAAGTCTCTGAAATGCATAATATGCAAAATTAACTGTAAAGGAAAATTGTTATTGTGGAAAGATTAGAAGCCTACTACTTACTATTCAATACTTATCACACTAAATACTGTAATGAAATTTCTCAGAAATCAAATTAATAGAAAATGGGAAAAATAAAAGTCTTTAATATAATGCACGCCTTGTCCAAGTATTAATGGATGATATGGTATGGTAATAGTAGATGGAAATTTGGGTTTTATTTTTTTAGTATTATCCACTGAACAACATGGGGTTAATGCGTTGATTTATTTCTATAAAATGGCCTTTACAAAGATGACATCATAGGCTCCTAAAAACTCATCTAATAAAGTGGATGTTTTTGCTTCCCATCTAGAAGATTGCTTTGCCATTATTTGTGCATGATTGATTGGGAAAGCAATTAGGAAACCATTTTGACATTCACTAGGCAGGGAGTTACGGAGATGAAGCTCATTCACCTAAATGGCATAATGACTTTGTGGAGCTGGCCAGTGTTGTGGCACCAAGCAGAATTGGATTTCTCTGACAGTTTCCTTCCTTGAGAAAAAAACACTTCCATCAATACACACAGTTCACACAACAGTTCTTTCAGAAAAAGTCTCTCACATTTTCGTGTGAACTGCCTTCTCTGCATATAATTCTTGTAGCCCTTAAGATTTATTTCTGGTTTCTTTTTGTGTTAGTCTTTTTATTGCTCCTAGATCTTTACCCAAACAATAACTCTTTTTTTTGTGTATTTTTTGGAGCCAGCAGGTTATAGGTTAAGTTAATAGTAATTCTCTCACAGTAAATCATGTTTTTCTTGTGCATAATTGCTTCTGTAATGAGATAAAGCATGAATGTTATCTGTAGCCCACAGTGCATCATTTGAAGAATTTAGTTACAAATGAAACCACTGAATACAAATCAACACTGTTGTGACACAATTTCTGTTCATAAGATCAGACGGCTTTCCCGGGAGATGTCCGACTGTCTGTTTACTTTTACAAGTTCACATAAAGTTCAGATAATGCCTGAAAGGAAGAAACAGATTATAATCAAGGAAAGATGCCATATAACTTTTTTTAATAATATTTGTATAATTACTATTATAATATAATATTACTTAAGCCCATAGTAAAATTACTTGATAGCAGAAGTCTCTTAGTTCCATGGTTACATCAATATATCTGTTTATACAGCATTATTTTATGATTGTACAATTTTGGGCTATAATAGAAATAATGTAGAATGTATTTCTATGTATGAGACTTGGGTTTCTGTCTTGAGCGTGTGAGTGTTTAGGAAAGTTATTGCGTGACTGAAGTCTAATGGCGATCATGCTACAGAAATAAGGCTCTTATGAAATGTAAACACCAGCAGACCAAAACAATGAAGCACAAGCTGATTAGTAGTCACACTCACTGGAGCCCTGTTACTTCTGGCGGGTCAGAAGTTTACTTGATATTGACAGCATTGCAATTAAAATTTTTTATTAGTGTTTCAGATTGTTTAAAGGGCTCATATTGTGCTGTTTTCTGATCTGTTTTAATGCTGTTGTGTTTTGTTTCATTCACATATTTAACACACAATTATCTTGTATATTTAGGCTGAATTCTTCTCTTAAACAGAAACCTTCCACCTTGTGATGTCATGTTGTAATACGGGAAGTTCTTCACGCTGTTTTTAAACTTAATACCTCCGCTAGAATCAGTTGGATAATTTCATCCCTGGAATTGCCTGGAATCTACTGAAATAAAGGTAAAAGGTAGCTGTTATCTTGAAAATTACCATTTCATGACATCATAAGGTGGAACAGAGCATTTTGACCTTTGGAGATGTAGACCGACTAATAATGCAGGATTACTCAAACATGTGTGAAGGAAACAAAACACAACTCCAGGTATGTTTTGACAAGGTAACAACACGAGGTAACATGGCTTAAAGCTCAGACCGTTTAATTAAAAAAAATTAATCTGATAGTACAATATATTTTTACTATGTAACTCTGAAGCCATAAAATGGATAAATCTTCTTATATTCTGCTTTCTTCTGTTTCAGAAAAGAAATACTGCTGAGTTACTGAGTCTTGGTGCACTGGTGTTGTGGGGAATACTCTTGCTGTCAGCTCGCCTTTACTGGATGGGAAACAAACCTCCAAACTTCTCCAACTCTGACAACCCTGCAGCAGACTCACCACACCTCCTCACTCGCACCCTCACCTTCTTCTACCTACCTGCAGCGAATGCCTGGCTCCTCCTCTGTCCGGACAAGCTCAGTTTTGATTGGTCGATGGACGCTGTACCCTTGGTCAAGTCCATAGCTGACTGGAGGAACCTTCACACTGGTGCATTCTACAGCGCATTGTTTGTTCTTGCTTTGTTTGGACTCCATGGGCCAAAATACAGCATTAAGGAAAGCAATGGAAAAGCACACATTGCAAATGGGAAGTCAAATGGCTATCATGCTCCAGACGCAAACCATAACAATAACTCAGTAGAGGGGCCTCCAGATGTAATCATGAATGGGTCAACTGGGCTTCACCATTGCCCAAGAAGGACATCTTTGCCCAGCACTGAAAATATTGTTGTATTTTCAATAGCCATAATTTCTTTATCATTCCTTCCAGCCACCAACCTCTTCTTCTATGTGGGATTTGTCATAGCAGAGAGGGTACTATACATTCCCAGTGTAGGATTTTGCTTACTCGTTGCAGTAGGAGCAAGAACCTTATACGTCAAACTGAGGACTAAAGGCAGCAGGGTCTTGATTATTTGTCTCTGCTCAACACTGGTGCTACTGAACGGACTGAGAACTGTGCAGAGAAACACAGACTGGAGCAGTGAGGAGAATCTCTACAGGTCTGGGATCAGTGTTAATCCTGCAAAAGGTAAAAAAAGTATAGACAAGGTTAAATAAAAGAATTCACTTAAATTTCACTATCATCTTTGAGGGACAAAAATATAAATATATGAAATAGTTGGTGTATATAATTAATTTTAACAACTTTTTTATTTAACTTAACATTTGGATGTACTTGGATGCATGACACACGCATCTGACTAGCTAAATCTGAGATTTGGTGTTTATCTGTGTGCCCTTTGCTGTTTGCTATTGTGGAAAAAATACAACTGCAACTTTGCAAGTCCATGCTTAATATTTTATTGACTCTGTCTCTTGTCTTTTATAGCCTGGGGAAACTTGGGAAATGTACTGAAAAACCAGGGCAAGATTGTGGAGGCGGAGAGAGCATACAGAAATGCTCTACACTACAGAGGCAATATGGCGGACATGCTGTACAATCTGTGAGTGCTAAATAGTCATCCTCATTATGTCTGAAAGAGCAGCTCTGACTCCTATACATTCCGTAGGTTTGTTAAAATAAAATTAAACAGCAAAGAAGGCACTGGGAATAGACAGTTTTTAATTGATTGGAGTAAATGGGAAAGAAATGCACTGTAGTATTTAATTAAATTCAGAACAACAGTTCAATGCTTGATGCAAAAGGACAAAGCATTTCTCATGTCTTACTAGGGCAGAATCCATCTTTAACAAACTTAACTTTTTAATATATTAATATATTATTTTTTTTATTTACTTGTAAGTTATCAGCATCCTTACAATATATATGTATATATATATATGTTTATTAGGGGTTTGCTACTGCAGGAAAATGAGCGTTTCACTGAAGCACTACATTACTACAAACTGGCCATAGCAAGTCGGCCTACACTAGCATGTAAGTAAAGAAAATATTGTAACTAGTCTGCTTCTTTTTGGGTAGAATACATGACCATTTTTGCCAAGCCTATCATAACCTGCATCAAATATGTCATTCACAGCTGCCTACTTGAACACAGGGATCATTCTGATGAACCAGGGAAGCCAGGAGGAAGCCAAACTCACCTTTCTTACTTGTGCTGAAATCCCTGATGAAAACTTGAAGGACCCTCATGCTCACAAGAGCTCTGTCACCAGCTGCCTGTATAACCTGGGCAAACTGCTGCACGAACAGGGACAGCAAGAGGTCATAAATCAATATGTCCCTTTTCAAAAAGCATTCAATGTGATTTTCTTCATCTTAAGTTGTGCACATTTTTGATGAAAAATGCTTTGTTCTCAGGAGGCTCTCTCTGTTTACAAAGAGGCAGTGCAGAAAATGCCCAGACAGTTTGCACCACACAGCCTTTTCAATATGATGGGTAGGTGAATTTTTAAGCTGACTCACCTTTAACCATTTTTGATAAGTTGGGTGCTTTTGTTCAAATGATAAAAACTGATAAATGTACAATGGGGTTCATAAGTAATACGCATACACTTAATTTGTACTATCCCATGTATGGTAATTGCACATTGGACATTCTGATTTAATTGCAGTAATATCAATGGTAGGTATAACAGTGCCGTATCATATTGCAGGAGAAGCATATATGAGACTGAACAGACTCGAGGAAGCAGGTCACTGGTACAGAGAGTCCCTTCGAGCTAAACCAGACCATATCCCAGCCCACCTCACTTATGGAAAACTCCTATCCATCACAGTAAGTGCCCTGACCACAAATTAAGAGAGAAGGCAGAGTATTGTATGAAAATTGTTTAACCTGGTACGGACTGATTCAATGAGAATTCATGGTGGGGATTCATAGTACATTCATTTCAAAGGATTTATTGGAAAAATGAGTTCAGTGGGCTCACTCTCTTGATTCGTTTGCATTTCTATATAGCAGAAAAAATGTTGAATTGTTTATTTCATAATTAATTTCTTTAGGGTCATTCATTACAACTTACAAGAAGCATAAATGACAAGTGAAAACATACATTGCAAATCAAATTGCAATCTTTATATTTGTCACAAAAAAAAAAAAAAACTGGCTATATTTCAAGATGTGTCTTGAGTTCACTGTAGAGTTAGCCTACTTAGCTGTGGGTGCTGAGTAAAGCTTGAAGTGCCTTTGCAGATCCCCTGTGCATTTAACAAAGTTTGAAGTTTGGATTTGAGTTCCACACTGTGAGTGGACATCTGCTGCACTGCCTCGGGCTCCGTACTGTACTTCTCGCACTTGTGGGCCCCCTCTTCTCCCAGGGCTTAGAGAACAGGAGATTGGATGGACCATGGACAATGGGCCAGTGGACAAGCCTATAACGAAATTACATTGCTTCCTTATTGAATCACCCACTCTGCTATATTTTGGCCATGCAACTGGACTTAACTGATAATACAGGCAGGGTCAAACTAAAGTCTTGCTCCCCTGTTGACCTTAACAAAAGTTGTACACTCGTGACTGCAAAACGAGAGACTCTGCCAAACTGTGTGATCTGAAATTAACCTGAGTCTAAAGAGCTTTAGTGAAGACAGAAAATGTGAAAAACCCAACAGGAATTCTTCACCCCAGGAAATAACTTAGCCATGTTATTAACGTGTTAATAACATATTTTAGTTGTATGGTTAAGGGAAAATTACATTTAAAGACAAATGCTTTTAACATCTCACATCTATTAGAGGTCAGTGGAAATGTAGAAGTCTTTTGTGTTTAATATTTTCCTTATTTGTTTATTTCTTTCAGGGACAGAAGGCAGAAGCAGAGAAGTACTACCTGAGAGCTATTCAACTTGATCCAACTAAAGGAAACTGCTATATGCACTACGGTAAGATGAGATCATTGGATTTCCTCGGAAAATCCTGTTTAAAACATTAGATTGGATTTGGGTTGTCTAAGACCGGTCAATAGTTGCAAAATCATATTATTTTCCCATTGGACCGCTTAAGGATTCAAAGCTGTGCCATACAGCCGTCATCAGCTTTACAGTAGAGATGGAGCTATGCAATAATTGGTCTTAGGGCAATAATAATGTAACAGTGTTTAAATGGGAATTAAAGTGTCAGTCTGAGGCCAGAAGTCATAAAAGTATGTGGCAACTTGTTATATAAAACGTAAAGATTTTTTGCACACAGCTTGCATAACAGGCTTTGAAGAAGTTTTGGAAATTGCCAACATGAGCAATGCAGAGGTGAAAGTAAACACTGTACTCATGAATAAAAACAGGATAGCATTGTCCTAATGTGACTGCTAACTCTGCATTTCATATCAGCCTGAATACACAGACATAATGCTACTATCTACAGGATATTTGTAGTACATTAATCCATCCACTCCTGGCTTAAGTGTAATTGTGGACCCGCTCATGGCTCCTTATCAAACTGTACATGCTCCTTTTGGTATCACTGAATTGCTGTCTTTGGAATAAGCTTCTTCCCTCTCTCCATCTGTGTCCTGTCCACTATTTATATGAAGCATGCTATCTATGTGGCTTTGGGGCAGGTGCTGTTTATCTGGGCTCCTTGCGAGCTTTATCATGGTTGTTCTGGATATACTCCAAGAGTAAAACAAGTGAAGTCAATTTTTTGCTTATTGCTGTACCATATCTGTGACTCTGCTGATAATATGTATGTGCAAAGAAGTTTAGTCTAGTTTCCCGTCATTGTTTCTAGTCTCTTTCTTAGATTTTAGGGATGTCTCAATATGATTCTCTTTCGGACTTAAACCTGTTTCTGTAAGAGCAACAAAGAAAAAAAAGCAATTCTGTAGTCCATGCTAAGCTGTGAGCCACATCTGTGCTTTGCCCGGTGGTTAATATAAAGGTATTTGTGGGTGCTGCACCAGGTGGCCACACTCCCATTGAAATCATGAAATTCCTGTCACTCCTGTTTTCACTATTTGCTTCAGAACAAAACAATTGTTCCTGAGTTCCCAGTGATACAGTTTTTGTGCATGTTGTAATTACATTCTGTTCTTCATTCTTTGTTCATATTCTTCCTAGGCCTCTATATGCCAAATATAGTGAAGGTATTCTTTTCAATTTTGTTTACATATTTTTATATATATTCTTTAGGTAAAATGCCATTGTGCCGAAGATGAATAACTAGTCAAATTAATTAAGTTACCAAATTCTCTCTGAATGAGGATAGAATCACAACATCAACATTAATAATAATAATTTCACAATAAATATATTCTAAATAGCAGTCTAATCAAATGAAAAGAAAACACATAGCAAACAATCAATACAATGCTTTTTTCTATACAGTTATATTATTTATTATTGGCTTGCTTCACTGTAGGAAACCAGTGTTAATGCAGTTTTATTTCTGTCCTGTTAATGTTGTTTTTAGTATCGATACTTGCTATACTTGCTCAAATGAGTATCTAGTATCTATTTCGATACTAGTTTTAGCATCTGTTAGTATTATATATTTGATACTTTTGACAAGCCTACATTATAGTTGCATATTTATGTTTCTATGGCTTCTCTTAGGTCAGTTCTTGTTGGAGCAGTCTCGTTTCACTGAAGCAGCAGAGATGGCAGAAAGAGCTGCACAACTGGACAACTCTGAGTTTGATGTGGTCTTCAGCGCTGCCCACATGCTCAGGTTTCTCTAACATTCTATATAAATACGTAACACCCCCCCCCAAAAAAAAAAAAAAAAAAAAACTTACCAGATTTTCCATATATTTTAAAAATCACTGCAGTAGGTCACTTATAGTAACTTGGAAACCAGTCATCTGAGAATTTTCTACATACATTTGCCAAGCACATGACTCATAAAAAGTGTCAAAAAGGATTGCATATGTCCTCTGCTCCCAGCAAACCAAGACAATAATAAAAGCCAAGTGCCTTAATCCATTTTTGAGCTTTATATCTGGGAAAGTCATCACTGCTCTTTAACGTCTATCAATATAAGTCCACTGTGTTCAGATTTTGGCAAAGGCCATATTTAAAAATGACAAATGATCCATATGTATTGAAGACTGAGTGGTTATTTTTAGAATACATAAATCTGTGTAGGATTAGACTGCTTTATTAACTATCTCTGGTTGAATTCAGAAAGGTTAAGACTTTAAAGGTCAAATGGCCTGGACCTCTTACAATTGTCTGAGGAGAGCTTTTTGACCACATAAAAAAAATCACATCTTGAAATCATTGAAAGCATATTAAGGCGTAAAAGTGGTCCCTCTCTCTGTGTATCTCTGTAGTAAAATGTTCCTACTATGTTTAAGTGGCCATTACTCATTACTTGACCAATCTAAATATGAAGAAAGGACACTCTTAAGATGATACCTCTTATGTTGTGTTTGAAACAGGGAAAGAGCATTACCTGTGTTTTTACAGCATGTTTGAATTTGTTTAGTCTCTCATAAAAATGTATTTTCATTGAAGATCTGGAAATTAAAGCTTTTAACTCTTTTTGTAGCTTTGGGATAGGACTGATCATAAAAATGGTCAGGCTTCAGCTGTGGAACTTTTAGAATATTCCTGTCTGCATATTACTGCACACTAAGAGGCAGATGCTTTATTTTGGGAAGAGAACAACACACACACACACCACACACACATAAATATATTTTTTTTAGCTTTTTGCCGATTATAATTCACTTATACACCATACTTGGTTATATTTTGTACATTTAAGTAATCTGTCTTTGAAAAGCTTGAAATGCATGCTCTTTCCAACATGTATTATGACATTAGTTATTATTGACAACATTTCATACCATACTATTTGAGCATGAGTCATGACCAACAAGAAGTTCTCACAGTTGATTTTTCTATACTTTTTAGACAGGCCAACCTGAACGAAGCAGCAGAGCGACAGTATGAGCATGCCGCCGGCCTCAGACCAGATGTAAGTAACTGGACTTGCAGGGACTGATGATAATATATGTATGTATGTGTTGTAAATTCAAAAGGTGTCATCTTTTCAGATGAAAGGTTGTGTGAACCTAAGTGTGGGGGTAATTTATTGTCAGAATTAGCCCAAAATAGCCTGGTGTTACAGTTCGCTAGTTTGGTGCTTGTTGGTAAGATTTCCTCATTATTACATTATAACATTATAATTAAATTACATTTTTAAAATCTTATTCAAAACATCTCAATGATGTTAGATTTTCTTAAGTAAAACATGTCCTAACTGTGTCCCAGTTAAAAGCTAGACATGTCCAAATCAAATATGGCATTTACTGATAAGAATTTTAATGATGATTTATTCTTAATGAGCCTTGTGGTTGTGATTTTGGTGGAAAAGGTGTTCAAATCAATAGAAAAAAATAGAAATCCAAACCCACTTTATTTATTTATATAGTAAATGTTATAAACGAATCAGTTTCCAAAGTGCTGCACATGTAAAGATATCATAAAAAACTACAAATACATTAAAAGTCAAGTCAAATAAAATGAAACCCACAAAATAACAATAAATATATAAAATCTGTAATGCCATACAAAAATAACTATAAAATAAATTAAAGGGCTTTAAAAACAAACAATGAAATCTTAAAATCATCTCTAAAACAAACTGAAAAGTGCATGGAGGCTAATGCCAGAAAAAGTAAATTCAGTAGTCCCCAACAAGATGATATATGATGATTTGTATGATTTGCTCAAATGGTTTAAAAGTTTAAAGGTTAAAAAAACAAACAAAAAAAGCTTTAACTTCAGATAAAAAACACTAATGATGATAAAAGCCAGATTTGATGTCAAGGTTTGAGACAAACTGTTGCTGTTTGAGTGGACCCAGGCCAATGAGGGGGTCAGTATTGCTAAACACAATAACCTGAATTTTGCCCTCATTCAGACTCAAAGTTGTGGGCCAACCAAGCCTTGCCAAAGGACAAACTCTCCTTTCTGATTTCACTTTAGCTTATAGAAGAAGCAGTTTCATGTTTAAAAAAAAAGAGAAAATTTGTTGTGAAGCTCACTATAAGAAAATACAGTCAGCCCATGTCCAATTTTGCGGGATGAGGCACAGATGATGTAAGGGAGATGTTGGGTGTTAATAGCTTACTTAATTTCTTTCTGTCATCATAATACAATGATCTCACATATAACTTTTATATCTTCTAAAAAATCTATCCCTTAGAATATATTGTTCTGTAACAATTAAAACAGTACAAAAATATGTATTTTACCATGAATAGTTCTTCATCAGCACCAGCATGTGTCATCTATATTGAATTAAATACTCTGGATATATTTGATTAGAGTCAAAAATCACATATATTTTGGGAGAGGTTACATCATCCACACAGCTGTCATGAGAGTGCTTCAGAGCAACTTGATCAGGTTTGGTCAACTCGCGCTGTCCCTGAGTGGACTTTCCAACTAGCACCCGTGCCAAAAATATCACCTTGGTTGGTGCATCTTCTACACCCACTACTTTTCTCCCATGCAAAGGCAAATTGTCTTTGCTGCTGGGACTGTACTTGTCAGCATATGCAGCATGTATTGCAAAGTATATTCCTGAAAAAGAAAAAAGAAAAAAGCTAAATTATGTTTAGCGTACATCATGGCATTAGCATTATTTTACTAGTTACTACCTTTTCCATATACATGCCCATGGTGTCCTGCCAGACTTATGTCAAAGTTGTACTTGCAAATGGAGTCAACATTGCACTTCTTGGTCCCATGAAAGAGTCGCCTCTCCTGAATGTCCTTGACCCTATGAATCCTCATCAACTGCCTTTTCTTTCTGTACCACAAATAAAATCTTCATGAAATAAGTGTTGCATTTTAACAAAGAGTATTTTATATTATACCTGCAGTAAAATTCCCACAAATCCTGGTTTTGGATCCTAAAAACTGATACAATGGGTTTGTCCAGCAGACCATCTCTCTTTACATAATTTGCTACAGTTAAATACTCAGCAGTGGATGCATTCAAAGGGATTAACTAAGGAAAAATAAAAAATAAAAAACAAGTGTAATGTAAATTACTTCTATAGGCTACAGTCCGATATATAACCAGTTCATATTTAGGCCCTACTTGGTATGGGCAAGAGTCATCCATGATTTCCCAGAACACAGGAACAGCAGAGAAGCAAGAGCAACTATAAAACAGGTTTTAGTTTCACTTTCATTACTGAGGAAACAGAACTTATCAGGTATGTATCTACCTTTTCTCTACAGTATAACTGCGCTGGATTCTTCGTTGTCTTCCAGTTTTTATGTCAGTTTGTAACATGGCTGTAGACAGAGATGAGAAAACAGAAATACAGAAATACATTTAAATGCTGTACTGTAAAAAAACATACCTGTGAAATCAATCCTTGAATTATGTGAAGCACAAGAAAATGGTCTAAAACTCCACTTGAATTTTGTACATAATAGTTTTCAATGTCTTGGCTACGTAAGGGGTTGTCAGGATCATCCTTTGGGACAGATAGAACGATTACTTAAATAGTCAAAATCTATGAATGAAAAAAGCTTCTTTTGAATTGTCAGTTTTACCTCAAATCTGTGCCACTGCCCACAGTCTGCCAAGTAGTACCACGTCCATGGTGTATCTGAGGTGTCCATCATTTCCACAGTATTCCACATGATGGCTATATAAAAGTATAAACCTTTCATATAGGTAATGGAACGTCTGCCTATGTTCCTATGTTAGACTGTCAAACCATCTATCCAAGCCAAACCTCTAAATGGGTTGGGCTTACTGAGGTTGAGCTTATTTAACCAGGACAAATTCTTTATAAAACCTACTGTTGAGACGGAATCAGAGACAGATTTTTTTTTTCTTCCAAACAAATCCATTTAAACATCAAATTTGATGTATCTATTTACTGTAATCCCTATCCCATTGTAGTCGCACATAAACCTCAGACAAAGTACAGTCCAAGTACAGTCAAATACACTTATGACTGCAGCATTGTCTACTGCATTTTATTTATTCAGAAGGAAATACTTGTTAATAAATATCTTGCTTTATGTTGATCTATTTTCTCAGTATCCAGCAGCTCTGATGAACCTTGGTGCCATGCTTCACCTGAACGGAAAGCTTGTAGAAGCTGAGACAAACTACCTGCGCGCCCTCCACCTCAAACCAGACGATGTAATCACTCAATCCAACCTGCGCAAGCTCTGGAACATCATGGACAAACAGGGACTGAGGACCAGGCAGACTAATGGCATTTAAGGGGATCAATGTCTGGCTATGTAGAAACAGCCTCACCCTTACAAAATAAGCTGAGGCCAGTGAAGCCGAACGAATGACACACTATCACAGGTCATGCGCATTTGCATTAAGTTGTTTTGGTTAGAGATTTCATGAACACAGTAAAAAGGTTGCCAATAAGCTTCACCATTCTCATCTCACCAACACTGTACAAGGCATTGTAAAGTTAGAAATGAATGTAGTTGTATGTTGAACCTGGTTGTATACCAATGTCCTTGGCTTTCTCAACTGTGCCAAAACTTGTGAAGAGTCTCCATGCCTCTGATGTCAAGCAAGAAATGTTTTTCACCTATGTGTCAAAGATGTTCAGTTTTATGTGATAAATTAATTTATTTTGTTGATATCTATTGTTTTATGTAACATACCAACATTGCGTTTTGTCTGACCAGTCTTGAGAGAATTAATTTCTCTCCACATTGTGACCATTGTCATCTTTTAAGTTATAGATAATTGTAGCCTGGACATGTGTTGGTTTTTGTACAGGAAACTGGACCTTTTTAAATAAATCTCAGATTTTCCTAATTTCCCTCAAAAGTGCTTGAAACTTACTGTGATAGAAATGTGAATTACTTGGAATCATTATCCATTCTTATTTAGATCAATACTGTGCCTGGAAGTTGAATAGGCAAAATTAGCCAGATTCTTAGGGCTTCATTTACTGTGCAAACAGTGACCTCTAGTGGCAATTGTACTGTATTTACGGTATCGGTGATAAAGCTAATGTTTTATCTTTTGTTTTTGAGGAAACGGAACCAATTACATATATATTTACCTTTCTGCGCGGGATTCTCTTTTGTGTTTCTGTTTTTACGTCACTTTGTATCATGGCTACAGAGGTGAGAAAAGTGTCCTTACAGAAAGACATTTAAGTCAAGTGCTGTACTTTGAAAAAGAGTACCTGTAAAATAAATCCTTGAACGATATGAGTCAAATGAAAAAGTATTTAAAACTCCATTTAAATTTTATAATAGAGTTCAATGTCTTAGCTTAGTAGGAGGTTGTTAGGGTCGTCCTTTATGACAGATAGAATGATTGTTTAAATTTTACTTCAGATTTGTGTCCTCAGTCTACCAGCTCCATGGTTTGTGTCTGAGGTGTCCCTGTATGCCAGTGTGTTTTACTTGTTTGCTATATATAGGCCTAAACCTTTAATATAGGTAATGTAATACCTACACTCTGTGTTCAGGTAATTTGTTTAACATATCTTCTTATTCAAATCATCCCATACCACATCCCTGGCCGGCTGTGCTTAACCAACACCAGAAAAAAAAAAAAGTGTTAATCTAAATAAATCAATAGCCAACAAGTTGGCTATAACGTTTTCCATCGTCAACAAGGCCCAAGGACACAATGAATGAGTATTCGTCTGTGAGGCCAGCCTGTGGATCAGTGGATCTGACCTCAACCGGTGAAGTCTATGTCGAGACCGGGATTCGAACAGCTTAAGTTCAGATCAAAGGACAAACGCTCTTACCATTTGAGCTACTGCCGACCTGATACGCCACAAATATTTTTAACAATTCCCCCAGCAGACTGGGCTGATGATGTGCACTTTGCTCAAATTGTGCATTCCAGGAAAGTCGTAGTGATGTTGCTGAAAGGGAGGAAAAGCTTATTCAGCATTTTAACTGTAGCCTAACAAATAATGAAGATCAAAAACAGTATCTACTGCAAGTTGTCACGGAGCACAGACACATCTTTTGTGATGGTCTTTTAAAACAACTTTTATGGACTTTCTAAGTAATTTTTATGCAAGTTTCAGTTTGTGTTTGCAGAATAAAATAAATAATTCAAATACGCCTTATTTATTTGGTTTGCTATGTTAAATTATAGGCCCTAATTAGGACCCAAATATTTTGACCAGATATGGAACCAAATGCAGGGTTCTAATCTAAAAAAAATCTTTTAAAAAATAAAAAATTTGGACCACTGTAATTTAAACAAGCTTTGAACCTCTGAACAATAACTGTTCATTTAAAGTAATTTTATTTGTCATTACAATCAATAATCGTAATTGTAGTCCAAATCCAGACATTTCATTAAATGAAAGCATTAAAATATCTTGCATTTTGGTGATTCTTGAGTTTGGACAGAACAAGTTATCTCTAAAACGTAACAATATGTAGATTTTTTTTCAAATCAAATTGATTATTTCAATTCAGTTTATGGGGTTTAATAGGGCAATAGGATCTACAACCTAATGAGTGTTACTTATTTACAAAAATGTATTTTATAACAATGAAATAGAAAGAACACAAACTACAAGTTTTGTGTGTCTGATGGAGCTGACAATAATTATACTATGAAATATGCTATATTTTAGGAAAAAACGTTTTTTATTTAGAACATGTTCGTTTGCGTTTCTGTAAATCTTAGACCTTACTCTACAGAGATATATAATTCTCATAAATGTAGAATGCTTTTATGAGAACCTGCTTTGTCTCAAATCAAGAATCACCATTTAATCACAGGTATGTTTATGGCTCAACAATACCTTGAAAAACTAAAATTCTTATGAGGAGTGGGCTTGCCTCTCCACAGACCTCACTTGTACTTGGTGGAATCACCTGCATGTCCCCATAGGTAAGTATAAAGCCATACTGTGGAAAATTCTAGGCAAAGCAATAATATCTCACAACACCACACCAGCACCAAGTTGTGCAGTACACCTTTTAAGTGGATTCCCTCCCATTGGTGTTCTGTTCCTGTCATATATTTGAGTCATATTTGAGTTGAATGTGCATATCTGTATTAAAATAATTAAAACAAACAAAAAAAACATATACACAGTATACACAAATCCTTTCACAGAAAGGGTAGTTAAAAGTAATTTGAAATAATTACAAAATTATTCCATACTCAATAAAAACAATAACTACGACACAAACAACAGCACTAATGAGTGAAGCAGGTACATGCTGCACAGTTTAGAATTGCTGAAAGCTCATAGTGCCACTTTTAAGGCCAATCTAAAAATGCTCACATTAAAATCTTGAGACTAACAAAGCTAACACGACATGAGTACTGCAGGAGCACAAAGACAGCTTTGTATCATGTATGATAATAAATAAACAATGATCTGGCACAGTGATTGCACACTATACTAGTCTTGACGTCCTTCAAGTTGTTGAATGTTCCCTTAAGGCATACATGGTTCTTTTATACCAGAGGTCACCAACCTTGTGTCCTTTGTGGCTTTCTCAGGTTCCCATAAGGAGTTGCCCTACAAAATAGTACTGCTCTCTCAATATTTCATGCTAGGCTAAAAACTAGGCTATTTGAGTGTAGAATATGTTGTGAACAAGAAATTGCGACAGAAAAGCGTGGCAGCTCCAGAATATATTTCTATTTTTCAAAATAGCCTAAGAGACCACAAAGTTACAAGCTGCTTAAGGTGCCAAACTGACATAAATGTTTTAAATATATGTCCTATGCTTTTCACAAAGACGCTTTACAGAGTATTATTTATTCACTCCACACCCGGTGAAGGTAAGCTACTACTGTAGCCACAGCTGCCCTGGGGCAGACTGACGGAAGCCCAGCTCCCAATCTGAGCCATCGGTCCACGACCACCACCATCACTCGTGCACACATCACTTTCATACTAGGCAATGTGGGTGAAGTGCCTTGCCTAGGGACACAACAACCTGGAATGTGAGTTTGAAATATAATTATGCCCTGAAGTACTTTCATCTACCAGATATATACACTGACAAAGAAAATACAAATGTCACTCAAATAAATAAATACAGTAAATACTTATAGGTAAATAATTTGCTTAAAATTGTATAATGTAACTGTAGCCCCATTTAATTTAAATGAACTGATTTAATTCAATGAATTTGTGTTTTAATGATTTTGCAAAATTGCAAAATCGTGAAATCAAGATTATGAAACAAATATACTCCTGACTTTCTTACTTGTAAAACAAAGTTATTGTGCAATAACAATTATATCTATACAAAAGTAATTTAAGGTGGTTTACAATATCTTAAATAAAAGCATATGATAAGGGATTTTATTTCATTTTTTGACCGTATGGTCCAGCTCTAGTTTGGGTAGTGATGACTCAGATCAGAGCGTGCTTTCGCAAATTGTAATCAAAATGAGAGACTCATGTGAGCCTCATTAAGTGTTCTGATTGGAAAATCCTGCTTGAGAACCAGAAGACCAAATTCTAATATAAATGGGACATCATGTCTAATGTTTTTGAAATTAACCATTCTAGTGCTGATTTATTTGTAAAAGCTATTTTATCAAAAGTTTGATTTGAAAATGTCAACTTCATATCTGGTGTCAACCAACTTGGTGCTCTTGAAGTAGCCCTCAGACCTGAAAATAATCCATCCATCAATTTTCTACCTCTTTATCCAAGGCCACATTATGGAGGCAACAGGATGCCCAGACATCCGTTTCCACACACACCTCCTCCAGCCCTTCCGGGAGGATCCCTAGGCATTCCCAGGCCAGCTGAGCGACATAGTTCCTCCGGTGTGTCTTGGGCTTTCTCTGTGTCTTCCTCCTGGGACATAGCCGGAGCACCTCCTCAAGGAGGTGTTCAGGAGAAACAAATGCCTGAGCCTCCTCAGCTGATTCCTCACGATGTGGAGAAGCAGTGGTTCTACCCCAAGCTCCTCCTGTGTGACTGAGCTCCTCACCCTATCTCAGCCATCTGTGGAGGAATGCTTTAGATTTGTATAGCACCTCTCAAGACACTCAAAGTGCTTTACATTCCATTATTCATTCACTCCACACTTGTGGTGGTAAGCTAAAACTATTGTAGCCACAGCTGCTCTGGGGCAAAAAGGTTGGTGACCCCTCTTTTAGACACACATCTGAATGGTCAAAATTGTCCCAAAAAAGAACATATGCAAAATCTTGTTCAGGTGTCAGTAGAACTCAATAATATATTCTGGATATATTTGATTGCTGTCAAATATAACAAATATCTTTGGATTGGCCAAGTCATCGACACAGCTGTCATAAAAGTTGATAAAGCTTGCATCCTTAGAGGGAGGTCTGCAGTAGAGGGGACGTCCAACGGTGAATTCTCCGACTAGCACCCTTGCCAGGAACATCGTCTTATAAGGAGGCTCACTAGCAAATATTGGCGGAGTGAGTCCATGTCTCTGTAAGGTGGTATTGTGTTTGTTTGTAGTGTGGCAAAATTTACTGGAGTATTTCGCATCTCTTGCAAAGTAGCTTCCTAAAAGACAAAGCATGGCTGAGTACAAGCCAGATTAAACAGCAAATTGTATCATGCATCTACAAGGTGAGACATACCTTTGCCATAGACATCTCCATGACTTCCAGTCAGTCGCCAGTCAAAGTTAAAAGTACATATTGCTTGTACATTACTGTGTCCCGTGCCATGAAACAGCATTCGTTCTTCAATATCCAGGGTACGTTTCACTTTACGCAGTTGTGTTTTCTTCCTGGTAAAGAAATGTACAAAATTGTAAGAAACTTGACAATATATATTTCAGTAATTTAACAGACCATTTGATAATTGAAGAGCCTAACATTTGAGTGTGTGTGATTTATGTAATTATTTAGTACCTGCAGAAAAACTCCCATAAATCGAGATTTTGGACTCTTTGTACAGATTTAATGGGATGGTCCATAGTTCGTTCATAAAGTCGAGCTACTTCTTTGAATTCATATGTGTCTCGACCAAGTTGGATAAGCTTGATTGGAAACGGCAAGACCAGATCAAAATGAAGTCAATAATTTACTCCAAAAACATACACATCAGGTTGTGCACATTGCCAAGTTGGGCAAATCAGTAAATAATAAACAAACAATGAATGGTTAGAGCAACACTTTACACCTGAAAATTACCTGATAGGGCTCATCTGTGTTGATTCGTTCCCAGTGACATGGAACAGGCAGAGCAAGATTATCACATATAAACCTATGATAAACAGATAAAAGTGTTCTTATCTTATCAAACAAAAGCTTTTTTTTTATAATTGTGTAATGAATTTAATTGATTTTAAATAATAAAATGTACCTAAATCCAGTTGCAGATTGGAGAGAGCGTTTGATTGGCCTTTGCTTCCCAGTAGTTACATTTATTTGTCTCATAACTGCTGATCATAATAGGTCTTAGTGTTCACAACAAAATAACAGAGATAACAGAGATTCCCAACTTAACTGCTCACCTGAAAAATCCAACCTGTAGGTATACTTGGCAGTATAGAACTCCATTACGCCACGTTGGTTTCTATTGTAACACTGCTCAATTTGAGCACTTGTTACAGAACATGCAGCGCTAGGATCAATCTGAGAGTAAAATGAATGAAGAAATTATAGAATTTATCTTTTTTATTATTTAACCTAATTATCTCAAGCAAAAAAATACTGTTGTGTAGTTGCAAGAATTCAAAATATTGTATTTGCATGTGCTCGTGTATGTGTGTGATTTGTACACATGATTACCTCAAACATATGCCACACTCCACATTCAGCCAGGTAGAACCAGCACCAGTTGGTCTCGGAGGTATCCATATCCTCCATCTCTGAGGATTCCTCCTCGGATGATTTCATTGAAAACATTGCTAAAATGTCAATTAATAAATTAAACGTTAGCACATATAGACAAAATAAGCAAAGAACAGTCAATACACTATACCAAGAGAATTTATGCAATCAACTTAAGCAGTATGGTTAGAATAGAACTCGAGGTCGAACATGTCCACTGAGATTTGTTAGTAAAACCAGTGTAAACTAAATAATTCAACAAGCAAAAATCATAGAACAACCCGATAAGCTGCTGTATCACTAAATACATCACATAATACTTTTGATTGAACGCTAAGTATTAAGCATTAGTATCACGCATCTCAAAATCCCCATTGCTGTAACATTAGTCTAAATGAAAATTCTCTGAGATTTGACGATACAATCCCGAGCTCTGTGTTAGAATGAACCCTATGCTACGCCTTGCTTGCATCGAAATACTTTATGAAATGCATTATGCACAGCTAACCCAAGTGCCTTACCGGGAGTTAGGTCTGTCTATCTCGCCGTGTTTTCTTAGCAACGTGTGTCCTTTCCATCTGTTACATTTAAACTCCCTTTAAATTACATTTCAGGTAGTTAGCTGTTACAGATTATTAGCAACCGTCGATTTGTGTTTACTTTCATTTCCGGGTTTGACCAAGATGACGTTAGCCAATAACTGCACACCCTGACGTTTGTCTCTCAGGCACAAAGAAAAACCATGAGAGAAACATTAGCGACACGGGCCTTTTTTAAACCCTGTACCTGTGATCATATATTAAAATCAGGGCGAAAGAGTATTTGAAAAGCGTCTCTTTGTTTAGATTAATTAATCATAGCATGCCATGACCCCCTTAAACCTAATTTCTAAGGTTGCAGCGTTATGTGCTGCTCTTATTTGGGAACGTTTCATGAATAATGGTGTCTTCACAGGCTATATATAAAATGGACATAGCTGACCATAAAATAAGATACTTCTGTTGTTTTGATTGATAAAACATATTTTCGAGGTAAAGTCCATACCTGTTTCCATTTTATGTCTGACATTGACATAGATACTTTGTGCCCAGTAACAGATGTAACAGTAACAGAGAGCAGATGGCTTGACAGATATGGAATCCTGGTTACTTGGCCAAGCCAGAACCACTTTCTTTTGACAAAACATGTAGAAGGGACTGGCTGGTCAGGCAAGCATCCTGAAACAGCTCTCTTATTCTGGAGTTGCAACTGCTAACAGCGAAACAAACATTACCAATATCGGTACCGGTATTACTGGTGGAGTGTTAAAAAAATTAAAAAATTAAAAAGCAATTACAGAAATCGCAATCGTAGACCCCATATCTTTCAAATGATTCTGTGTAATTGTGGAGAGTTCCATTTCTTTGAAGTTGCCTCACTAAATGCCAGTTTTTATAGAAGATAGATTTGTTCTTAAAGAGAATATTGCCATTGCTCCAAATATAATATGAATGTAGCAAAAATGTGTTGGGAATGTGTTTCGTCGTAGTTTTTTTTTTTTTTTTTTTTTTTAGGTGTGCTTCATTTGACTGGACCCGAGGAGTAACCCCACATGGACCCGAACGGTATGGATGACGTCACACTTTGTCCACTTTTTTCATAAAGTCTATGGGTGTCTCCATCCAGAACACACCCCTGCTTGTGTGAAAAAGACGCAAGCTCTTCAACTAAACTGATTGCAGATACAAGGAATTTGTGCACGGATAAGAATATCGGGCTCCCAAGTTATTTTCTGCAGTAAAGTAAGTTAATTTAAGACTTGCATTTTTTAAAGTTCATCTTCGTGATTCATGCACAAACATATCGTTTTTAACACTGTTATTTACATGCATTGCACGTTTTCTTTCTTTTATGTAAGATAGGGACTATGGGCGCAGATACAGTCGATGGAGTCCCTGCGAGTGAAGCGATTCCAGAAAGAGAAATAAAACCAAGGGGCAAATGGGCCAACAATACAGAGTTTATTCTTGCCATGGCAGGAGAAATCATCGGCTTGGGGAATGTCTGGCGTTTTCCTTATCTCTGCTTCAAGAATGGAGGAGGTAAAAGGAAACAAAGACACGCTGCAGAGAATCTTAGCTTATAGAATTTAAACTGATCCATAATGTACCATTACACTACAGTGTACATTTCTGTGTCAATGCATTTAAACAAAAAATAGACATAAATTGTCTCCTACAAGACATACTGTTCCTGTCGTATCATGAGGTTCTAATTATTTTAACTCTGTGTGTCATTCCTTTTCCCATCCAGGAGTGTTTTTCATCCCATACTTTGTCTTCCTGTTTTTCTGTGGCATCCCTATCTTCTTTCTGGAGACTGCTCTGGGACAGTACACGAGTGAAGGAGGGGTCACGGCCTGGAGGAAGATTTGCCCCATGGCGGAGGGTGAAAACAAGGCTTTCACTCTTTTCATTCAACACTCAATTTCATGCTTTTCAGATATCTTGACATGCACACGTCTTATACTGTTATTTTTGTCGTTACTTCAGAAAATGGCAACTGCTAGTTTGAACTATTGTTATTAAAAGATGTCTTTGTTACACAGGGGTTGGCATTGCATCTCAAGTAATTGTGAGCTACTTGAACATTTACTACATTGTGGTTTTGGCCTGGGGTATTTTCTACTTGACTAACTCCTTCCAAAACCCATTGCCATGGTCCACATGTGACAACTGGTGGAATACAAGTAAGGCAGATTTTCAATGTTCGTTTTTGTGGACTTGTATTGACTTGCTCTTTTTTATACAAAAGCTAATCAAAGACATGCCTCTAAACTTTTATTATTTATTCACCTCTTTCAGAGGAGTGCCTCAAAGGAGTGCCTGAAGAAAATATATTCAACCCACATTTGTTTAATATATCTGGCAACTGGTCTTTCCTCCTCAATAGCACTTCGGATGATTATTTTGAGGATTTCAATTTAACGTTAGTAAGATTTTTCATTTATTTAAAACTAGTCAAAAGTGCTTTTAGCTTGGAAATGTGGCTGATGAAATATTGTTAAGAGGTAAAAGGCACACATTTGCAGAAATCAATTATTTAAAAAAAATTAAAGCACAACTCACTAAATGATACAATTGTTTATATTTTCTTTTATGTTTGCAGAAGTCTTGGGCCATCATATCAGATATCATCAGAAAGTGAATTCTTCAAGTGAGAATCACACATTGTGTTTTTTTTTTCTTCACATATTGTATGTGTAAACAGTTTCATCTAGTCATCTTCACTTTTTGGGAGTTAGTGCTTTAAATCAAAAGAAAATTTCATCCAAGAATTGTCAAATGCATTTGAGGCCATTTAAATAACAAATAACTGCTAATGGAGACATTTTTTTTTTGGTTTGTCATGACGTTCAAGTTATAGTCTTTTAATGCATCTATCCTGTTTCTTATATGGGAACAATATGGACTTTTGCATATGACTACAAATCTTTCTGAAGTATGTTGGTGTTGCAACATATACATGTGCTAGGCAGGTTTTTAGTCTTACTAGGAAACTAGGAAAATGTAGTTTACGCACACAAGACAAGGGGTTTGTATACAGTGGGCAGATGCATTATAAATAACACTTGGCTTGTGTGCTATTGTGAACTGTGTCTCAGTAACACCGTTCATATAAAGTAGGCTTATCCTTATTATTCTTATTCCTTTTTCCTTATTGTTATTGTTTTCCTAGTAACCGTGTTTTGAGAATGAATGACCGTGATAGTGATGGAAAGGTTCTGTGGGATCTGGCTTTGTGCCTTCTCGCTGCATGGATCATCTGCTACTTTTGTATTTTTAAGGGAGTGAAATCCACAGGCAAGGCAAGTATCTTTTTTAAAGTGTCATTGTTTTCCAACAGTCTCCAATGGCATACATTCCTAATATTCAGTATAACATGTAATTCAAGATTTGATAAATGCCTGCACTTTCTTTTCTTATTATAAATATCTTCTTGGTTTTGACTGAATGCACTTTTTTTTTCTACTTCTACTGTGTTCACTTATTTATCAAGCACTGTCTTGATTTATCTTCTCTATTATCTATCTCAACTTATCAGAGAGTCACATTCATTATTATTCATTTCATAATTCACTTTGATATGGGAATTATGAATGGAGAATTAATCATGTGTCCCTTGTTGTAGGTTGTATACTTCACTGCTACATTCCCCTATTTGATGCTGATCATCCTCTTCATCCGTGGAGTTACTCTTCCTGGAGCTGGAGAAGGAATCAAATATTACTTGCTTCCAGACTTCAGCAGACTCAGTGATCCAGCTGTAAGTATATGTCTCTGTATTGTACAATCCTTTCAGACACATAAGGAGAAAGGGGAATAGTACGAAATGGACACTAAATTGGATCAAATATACCAAAAAGCTTTTTCAAATACAGTAAAAAAAAAGTAAAATTTGCTTTCTTGCATGTGTCCATTTAAGTACCTCAAGGGTTATAGGGCATCAAATGAACCTTATGACCTTGCATATGGAATTGTTTTCCACTACATTCTTGTCTAGGTGTCTGTCAATGAAGATGGCAAAAATATATTCTTATTATTCATTTACCTTTTTGACAGAATATTAATGTGTTTCTTTTGGTTAGTCATCTAATAATAATTCATTAGACAAGTTCGATATATAGGCATGGCTAGGGTGGTTATGTAACTCCAGATGTCTCTAAAACCAGATGTATGCCTTACTGGCAAACAACCCTCAAAGCTATATACAATACATATGGGCTGGGCTCTCTTTTATTGAGTAACTTACCATCGTGCTTTAAACAAAAAGCATGCATGTTTAAGCTCTGACACAAGTTGAAGTCATTTTTAGAAAGGTTACATAGTTGGATGCAACAATTTCCTCTTTGTCAGATGTCAGAGACCTTTTAACCAGACATAGCTCTTGTTGTATCCAAGGCAGCGAAAGAAGTCAGCCCTATCACAGGACTGGGGCCTACATAGTATATCACTGTGTGCTCCTCTCACCCTTTTGTGAGAAATGTTCAGTGGTGCCTCTAATGTTAACCAGATGTTGTCCAGACTTGTACAGACAAAGCTTCATGTAAACAAGCAATCGTGTGTTGTTGAATGTAGCAGAGCACGTGTGGGACAGACTGTTTAATACGCAGTGCTGTGTATCACATGGGTTATCTATTAGAAATGCCTTTTGTTGTTCTTGCCTGCATTCCAGCTCATAAAATGGCCCTTAATAATACAGTTTAACCTTGTAATGGTCCCTGAAGGTTTGGAATGATGCAGGCACGCAAGTTTTCTTCTCCTATGCTGTATGCCAGGGAGTACTGACTGCTCTTGGGAGTTACAACAATTATAACAACAACTGCTACAGGTTTCCACATTTAACACATTTATTTGCACTTTTGAACTTTTTTTAACCTCTCCTTTGCTTTTACAGAGACTGTTTGGCACTATGTTGTCTAAATAGTGCCACTAGCATTTTTGCTGGTTTTGTTGTTTTTTCTGTGTTGGGATTCATGGCTTATGAGCTTCAAGTGTCAATGGAGGAAGTAACTGCTAGTGGTGAGTCTGCCACAGATTTGAATTACTCTCTTTGTCCACAAGATGGCACTTATCTGTTTAAAACCAAAAAATATTTGCTTCTCTATATTTTACAGTTTGCTATGTACTCCCACATAGTTGTAGCGTACATTAAGTTAATATATGACATATTTAAATTTGTAAAAATAGATTTCTAAATTGTTTACAGGTCCTGGTTTGGCTTTCATTGCGTACCCAAAGGCACTCTCAATGCTTCCTGGCTCTTCCTTCTGGGCTGTGTTATTCTTTTTAATGATCATTTTCCTGGGCTTGGACAGTCAGGTACACATTCATTTATATAGCTCTTACTTGTGTCTAGCTTCACATTATAGAAATGTAATTTTGTGTTTTTCTAGTTTGTTTGTGTTGAGAGCTTGGCTACTGCCATTATAGACCTTTTCCCACGTTACCTCAGGAGACATGGAGCTAGAGAGATCCTTGTGCTGGTTATTGCTGTGGTCTGTTTTCTGCTTGCTCTACCACTAGTCTGTGGGGTAAGTAACAGTATTTAAACCTGTGTTTAAAACTGCCCACACAATGTTTAAAATAGGTCATTCAGGTCATAATACATGGGAAAATTAGAAAGAAGTCTCCTAAATTATGAATTACACTTTTATTGAAAAAGACACACACATCCAAACACTTCTTAGTGTCAAAAGATTGAGCAAAGCTAGAAAATAAAAGGAGTCTGTTCAACAGTTAGGCCTCCATTTTGGTTTTATTTTACACCACATTTGCCCTTTGGGTCTTTCTGTGGCATCTGCAGAAGGGCTTGTGACTCAAAAAATTGCCTTCTTAATTTGTCATATATAATGCAAATGTCTTTTTAAACAATATTTTTGTCTTTGTGTTTAAGAGGGGGATTTTCCTGTTTCATCTTATTGACACATATGGAGCCAGTGGACTCACTCTCCTGTTCATTGCCATATTTGAGTGCATAGTGATTGGCTGGGTGTATGGTATGTTGTATGTATATTATAAGAAAAAATCAGCTAGTCAGCAGACACAGCATAATTGACAAAGGTGATTGTTTTTCACATACAGGTGCAGACCGCTTCTTTCACAACATTGAGGACATGGTAGGATATCCACCTGTCCCAGTGTTAAAATACTGCTGGATGTTCATCACTCCATTCATCTGTGGGGTATGCCTCTCACACCTGCGCCACATCTTTCTCATTATAACTGTCTGTGCAGTCCTGATATTCTTTCTTTTATAAAAGTATTTTTCTATGTCTAAAACCATTTCTCTCCCCTAGATTACACTCCTTTATAACCTAGATCAGAAAAATATGTTTTTACAATATGAAGGTAATGGCTCTTCATATAGAGCAATTGCTGTACTCCTCATCATCACTCCAATGTTATGCATCCCGCTGTTTGTTTTCCGCTCTTTGTATTACGTAAGTATTAGTACTGTATACCAAACAAATGATCTCTTTTATTTAAATTAGTTTTATTTATTCATAATTATTTTTCTGTAGAATGCCAATAACATGACCACACCCTCTAGTGATCTACGCCAGGCTCAACCACATAAGCCTATACTGACTCTTTGCAAGCGTGTGATCTTTCCTGCACAGGTGAAACCCAACATAAATGTGTCTTTGGAAACTAATGAGAAGTTGGCAATGTGTGAACCAGATGTATAACAGTGCAAAACATTCACTAGAGATGCATTTTACAGTTGTGATCAAACTTGTCATATTATATTCCTTTTTGAATTGGACTATGATATACCCATAGAATAATATTTTATCGTAAACTAGTCCAGAAATGTGTCGCTGGAGTCGTGGTTTAAGTTTGAGAACCCTCTTCATCAGAAACATGTTCCATGGTGCTTTGGTACAGCATTGATATACACTGAATGTTTAAACCTATTCAACACATATAAAAAGTCAAATAATAGATACTTTAACTGCCTTTGTATGAATGGCATTATAATCTTATCCACTGCAATTTGCAATATTCGTTTTCAGTATTTCTTTCTTTATGTTAGATACCTAACCTGCAACTAAATTAGCTCATAAAATATATTATTCACCTCACTTCTGATTTACTCATAACATTAGAGCACAAAGTAATATTAATAATGCTAGTACTAATCACTACCCTAACCTGATGATGACTCACTATAGTTTCTTGTTTTTGTTTTTGTAATGTTTAGTTTCTACCCCAAATGTATATCTTGTATTAATTAACATTACTCAAAAAGCTTTCAAATGTATCCACAATAACAGTGACATCACACACTGTAGACCTGATTGTTCAACCTGAACTTGTGTCGACATCATGGCAAACTCACCCATGTGTGTAATCCAAAGCGGCACTCAATTAACAGTCAAATCCGTCCGATGACAGGATGACCCTCAAACCTGAAACTTGTCCCCAGAGACAACAAATGTTGACCGTAAAATAGTTTGCATGTGTTTTTTTGTGTGTGTGTGTGTGTTTTGTACTTTTTTCTATAATAAAAGCAAGAAATTGGTTATTTAATAATTTGAGTCATTTTTATTTTAGATAGGTATTAAGAATTAGTAATCCAAGTGTTTGAAAGGTTAAACTTCTATTGCCTATCAATAACTGCTGTTTTTGCTTTGGGGCAACTACGTTTGCTAATATAGAAACACTGCTAGTGAAAATTAGCATTTGGCCTCCGTATGCCCTATCACAAGCTGGCTCTGCAAGTGTTAACTGCTAAACGAATATATGTCAACAACTGCAACACAAAAAGGCAATCGAAAGCATGCCTATTATCAACCATAACTTTGCTCACCTCACTTAAATCCTAGTTATTTCAGTATGCTCATTAAAAAGAAGTATCTGAATTTAACTGTACTTGAATATTGCACCAAGCTGGTAGATCCAAATATGAATATCTTGTGTGTAGAGGTCCAAACTACTCTAATTGGCAGGTATTTTACATAATAAGTTAGGAAATTATGTTTCCTCGTGGGCTAATTGTTACACTAATTATGTCCATTCAAATTGCTAAATCAAGTTAATGCTTTAAATGTTACAGTCCTAATATATTTTAATTTATTTGCTAACGCTGCTTGCTTTACCCACATTGCAGCAGCATAATTTTCCTCAGAATTTTATGCTGGTTTGTATGTTGTGTCATAACCACTGCGTTCCAATAACTAATTTGCTTGAACCTGTTTTTATCAAACCCCATAACATGGGTTAAGTGTCCTAACATATTATTAGTTTGATGTCTGGATGTGATAAACACTCTATGAAAATATTCTATACTTTGAAATGGTACAATAGAAGGACCTAAAATTCATTGGATACAAGTTCAAATTTTCTCATTTCCTCTTAAAGAAATTAGGACATTTGTAGCTCAACTGTCAATATTTGTGCATGACAACAGGCCCTGGATCTGCAGTGATACTGCATTCACACTGTGCACAGATAATGGACAAGGTGACTCTTAGGCTCACTTACAACACAGTTTGTTCAAGTCAGATGCTGGCAAGGTTACTGTCCTGCTTGTATAGCCCATTTCCAGGATGCTTGCCAACAGTCATTGCCTGCTGTATTTTCCAAAACTGCACGAGTCCTTTCACGAAGCAGGCTCTTCCTGTTGGGAAACACCATGGTAACAACGCTGGCAAAAGCTGACCTCAACTATCACACACACACACACACACACACACACAGAAGTACCAACCACACTGTATCAGTGCAGCCACTCGATCAGCTCCACTGCAGAACTGGGCAATTGATGAATCCCATGGCCCCGGGGCCGGACCAAGCACAGCTGACCAGCAATCAAAGCAGACCCACAAGTCGAACTTTATTATCTATCTTTCAATAGACATGGTTAGTGGTGCTACAGCTGTAACTGTATACGGTAAAGAGTGAGCTGCAACACCAAAGCCTCTTCACTGCCTCTGTTTGGATTAAGCTCCAGAGCAAACTTGAAAATCAGCTGCAAAGAAGATCACCTGGATTTAAATGGTTTGGATTTCTGAGGCTTCAGTTTCTGTGATATGACACTGATGAGCTGACACAGGACATCTCTGAGGTAGGAGATCATTTTGAGTGCAATGCTCAAATGTATAATGTCGAGTGTGTTCAACCAAAAGCAAACAGCTCTTGTAATAATAAAGAAATTCTATAATTAGATAGTTGGATTTAAGTACACTGGAAATGTGTTGATTATTTAAAGCAAGCTAAGCTTTTTATACAAAAAGTCTCCACATACATGTCATTAATTTGATGTTTCACAGATGTCATCCTCAACAGGCATTTTAGATGCATCATTATTGTTGTGTTTCTATATTTCCCATAACTGATATGTTTTAAAAACACCAGAAATCCCTGTGATATATTTGCCTTTAATATGGCCACATAAAAATATAATATGTTCCTGATATTGAAATACTTATTTCTCCATCTCTCGTTGGCATTGGAAAATGCTAATTAAATACCATCAGTGATTTTTTAGGCCATTTCCGGGTCAATCAATGCACATAGAAACTTCCTCTGAATGCACCACCTTTGACCTCTGTCTGATGAAATGCTAATGATCAGCTCAACTCTGCTCTGATTTTAAGTTATAATGAGAAAACAAACTCCGTCTTTATTCTCATTTCATTAATTCATTATTACTTAATTATTGCACACAATTACAAAACATAATAGCACTATTGTTTTTACAGTGCTGCACACTGCCCTGAACCATCCAGACTTAGTGCTAAGGCCTGGCCTCACTGAGTGGCTCCCTGGTCTCTGCTGGACCCATTATGGGGAAGACGGGCCAGAGCACAGTGACATTAAATTCCCCAACTGAGGTCAAACAGGCCGTTCCTTTTGAGGAAATGGACTCAGTGGCACCCTCTGGAAAGGCAAAGAAGAAAGAAGAGCCTCCAGATAGGGGCAGCTGGAAGGGAAAGTTCGACTTCCTGTTGTCTTGTGTTGGTTATGCTATTGGTTTAGGAAACGTCTGGAGGTTTCCCTACCTGTGCGGAAAGAATGGTGGAGGTGAGTTTGGACTCTTATGATAACGTGGCATGTTGTTTTAAGCAACATTAACAACTGAATAACCTCTATTGGTTATTTTCTGTCTTTTTGTGTAAGGGGCTTTCCTTATCCCATATTTCACAACACTGGTGTTTGCTGGAATCCCTCTGTTCTTCCTGGAGACATCTCTGGGACAGTTCACCTCAGTGGGAGGCCTTGGAGTGTGGAGACTCATCCCAATGATGAAAGGTCAGGAGCACAACAAGCACATCAGTGCTAATGGGAGGGTATCTTAAGCATGTGATCATTGTTAATGTTTTAAACAATGGTTTCATGTTCATTTCACTTTTTCACTCTTCGCCTTTGACTGTCTATATCTTAGAGGAACTGTATGTAGTCAATGCACTTAGTCTTAAAAAATGCTCTACAATCACAACTGAATTTGAGTTTCCAGTGTCTTAACCTGCGTATAGACTACACATATAAGTTTTCCTCATTCTCAGTATATGGACAGTAATACTGCAGCCAGCAGCAGAGACTCTGATTAATGAGTGACTGGGTTTAGGTAGTGAGGATTCAGACCACAGTCCTTCTTTTCTTGGTTTTAACCAACTGGATTTCGGCATTGAAACTCGCATCCCAAATGAGAGACTCATGTGAGAGTCTTTCTGAATTGATAATCATCTTGACACCAAAATATGACATAAATAAATGGGGCGTCATTGACTTTGTAATTAAGAATAAGTCAGCATCACTGTTGTTATCAGTAAAAGCAATATTTGATTTATCTTGTATCAGGGGACACAGTTAGGTCATGTTTGTGGAATTAAAATCACAATCTTACATATGGTTACATGGTGAACCTTGCCTTTATGAAAGTATACTAGTGAAATGTTCTGCTAGCACATACAGGATGTTATTAGTCTCTGGTAAATCTGGGCTCTAATCAGAGTTTGTGAACAATGTACAGATAGTTGCAGTACTGATTCATACAGGACGCAGAGGGAGGGATGGTGTACTCATACAAGGACATACAAGGACAAACATTTATTCATTATTTATAGATACCACATTTGCTGTTTCACCAATCCCCAATAATTATGCTTTATCTTTTAGGTGTGGGCTTGGCTGCAGTGGTGCTTTCCTTCTGGCTTAACATCTACTACATTGTCATCATTGCCTGGGCTCTGTATTACCTATTCAACTCTTTTGGTTCGGTATGTCTCATGTGATTGCTGCATGTCAAATCTATTGCCCCAGTGAATGAATGACTTTGGAAAGGTCACAAATGACATTACCAGGTCACATGTGGACAATTAGCTAACTAGTAAATGGTGTGCTAATAACAGTAATGACTTTGGGGTAAATGCTACAGTTATTCCTCAGTATATGAAATTATAACTATTTGTGTTATGTACATTATGTAGTAAAAATAACAAGACACACAGCACACTGCAGCACACAGATGAATTTAAGTATCTGTTAATCTATTTTGATGTATAAATGGGTGTTGTTGTTTGCAGGAGCTACCATGGCAAAGCTGTGACAATCCGTGGAACACAGATCAGTGTTTCTGCAACTATAGCCTGATGGACACCACCAACCTGACCAGTGCAGTAGAGGAGTTCTGGGAGTAAATGACTTAAATCCATAGATTGTATATATAAATGGACATAGCTAAACTGTTCACTGCAGCATTCCAAATAGGAAGAGTTCATTAGGATGCTTCCAGCTCCATCGACTCCAATTGACTTTGCACTGAAAAGTTGTCATCCCTCTCTCTGTAACTGCTGTTGTGAGCCTCGTCACATGATCCTGGTGTTATATTGATATTTTGTTTGTGAATAAATTGCTATTCCTAATATGGAATTCAGCTCCAAATTCGCTCCTATAACTGCTAGCCTTGTGGGCTTCATTTAACTGGAGCCGCTATGAGTGAGGTCATACTCCCTTATTCCACTTCTATATACAGTTTATGCTTGAAACATATATATGTGTAGCGAGTGACCGTGAGTAGTGCTGATTACACTGTGTGATCTTCCTTTAGGCGGAACATGCACCAGTTGACCAATGGACTGGAGGAGCCAGGGGAGGTGCGCTGGCCCTTAGTGGGGACTCTAGCCCTTGCATGGGTCTTGGTCTACTTCTCCATTTGGAAAGGGGTGGAGTGGACCGGAAAGGTTAGAGCTTTTTTTTTTTTTTTTCATTTAGCTTTAGCGATTTAAAATTAGGAAATTAGGTCTTGTAATTGTTTCATGGCCCTTACAGTGTTGTCATAATCACACCAATTAGTGCATATATGTATATATGTGTATATATATAAATATAATAATTATTATTATTAGAGATTGACCGATATGTTTTTTTTTTCTTTGATGATATTTAGAAATATAAATATAATTACTCATTCTGATTTATACACACACACATTTAAGCACTTTTGCAGTTTAATAACAATAGCAAATTAAAAACAATAGAACACTAAAATAGACTACATTTTAGGTTTATGCACAGGTTTGCATGCATTTAAAGCGAGAAAGAGAACAATTAGTCTTGCAGAAGTCACATGATGTCAGTATGTTTCCGCTGTCCCAAACCTGGATAAAAGGGAGATATTACAATAACAATAAACATATATACTCTCATGTTTAAGTTATGTAATTTTTTATTAGCCAGTCTTTGTCTTTGCCTCACAGGTGGTGTACTTCTCTGCCACCTACCCCTACTTCATGCTATTTATCCTGTTTTTTCGTGGAGTAACTTTGCCTGGAGCTATTGATGGGATCCTTTTTTATATCACTCCAGACTTTAACAAACTAATGCGATCAGAGGTATTTTTAACACACCAAAGTAGGGAATATCAATCAAAATATAAAGCTAAATTGTGTGTATGTGTTGTAGGTTTGGTTGGATGCAGCAACTCAGATCTTCTTCTCTTATGGACTTGGCCTTGGATCTCTTATTGCACTGGGGAGCTACAACTCATATAACAATGACGTTTATAAGTAAGGACTCTTCCTCACCACTTCCTCACCTACCACTATAACAATCTTTCTGATATAAGGTCTGTCAGGTTTTCCTCAATGAACGTTTCTATTCATTCAATACAATATCTTTTGTGTGCATCATATTTATAGTGTTGGCCTTGTATTTTCTTTTAGGGACTCAATAATTGTGTGTTGCATCAACTCCTGTACAAGCATGTTCGCTGGATTTGTCATCTTCTCCATTGTAGGCTTCATGTCCAACATTACCAAGAAACCTGTGGCTGAACTGGCAGCATCAGGTAAGATTCAGAAGAGGTTTTTAATTTTTTTCCATTTGATCTAGTACATTAGATGTGTAACCTGACCCGCTTATGCTGTCTTGAGATCTAAAGCAAACATGCAACTGAAAATATGACTGATAAATTAGCTTTGCAACAGGGTTTATTTTCTCCCATATTTTTGTTTCAAATGCAAATCATAATCAGGGAGCATAAATGCCATGTTCTTCATCTCAAGGTGTGAATACAAAAGCAGTTCATTTTTAATTTAGCTGCCTTCTTCTTTCTTTCAACTAAGTTATACATTGGTCATAGCAGGATCATTCAAAGATTTTTATTATTCTTTCTCTATGAGGACAGTATTGAAAATAATGTCCTTCCAAGTGTAGTAATTTGCAAAGAATTTGGCATACATTGTACTGCACATATCAATTAAGTGGCCCAGTGTTTTATTATGCTTTATTTCACTGGGCTTAAACTAGAGTACAAAGTGCACACAGTGACCCTTTGCGAAGAGGTTGAATAAACAAGAGGAAAATTTACTCACGCAATAGCAATTTATTCATTCATGTTTCCAACATAATAATATGACTGACTTAAATGTAACCACAGAACATTTTTGATGGTTTATTTAGGGCCAGGGCTTGCCTTTTTAGCTTACCCCCAGGCAGTGACCCAGCTCCCTATGTCCTCTCTGTGGGCTATCCTTTTTTTCTCTATGCTGATGATGCTGGGGCTGGATAGTCAGGTATGACACGATGCACAGATATCCTTAATGATTTAGTTTTTTCCCTTGGTGAACATATTTGTATACTTTTTTGCACTCCCCTCAGTTCTGTACTGTGGAGGGTTTCATCACTGCTCTGATGGACGAGTACCCCATGTTACTGAGGAAAAGGAAGAAGCTCTTCATCCTTGTCGTGTGTTTCATCTCTTTCATTATCGGCTTCTCTAATATCACACAGGTACAATAAATTTCTTTTTATTTGGTCTGTGTAACTGCATTGCATATTGAATAGAGACGTGGGTATGATTGAACTAAAGAAGGCAAGAATAGGTTTTAGCAATGTTCTCAAAACTACTTCAACTTTTTACCTAGCCTAATATATCTATAGCTTTGTAACACATGTTTTATGTAGCTACAATCTGAAAAAAAAAAAAAAATAAAATAAATAAATAAAAATAAATAAATACAAAAAATACATATGTATGGCTTCTCTACCCCCCTTTATGAAGACAATTTAAGCAAGTACAAAATAATACAAGTCTTCTGCATATTAAATAGTAACTAAATGGCATCACAACAACCCTAAGGTATGCATTCACTATACATATTTTATGCACCAACAATAAGCCTTTTAATATTCAACTTCTAAAACACTCTCTGCATGTGGGTCAAGTAGTTACTGGACCGTGGGTGTGAGTTTCCATTTGTTTCCAGTGTCTCTTGTGGGGTCTTAAAGTCTTAAGATGTGTGGCTAAATAATTTAACAAACTTTAGAATATTAAACTAAGATGAATGCTGATTGCAGAGTGTGTTGTAACCACAGTGAGCTAATGGTTCTGTGTGTGTGTATTTCAGGGTGGGTTGTATGTGTTCAAGCTGTTTGATTACTACTCTGCCAGTGGGATGTGTCTGCTCTACCTTGTCTTCTTTGAAACAGTGTCAATCTCCTGGCTTTATGGTATTATTCAAATTCTATTATTATTTTACACCTTTGTGAGATATAACAAAAACACAGACAAAAGGAAAGATACAGTCATAAGTCATAATAAGCAAGCTAATTTAGTGCTGTTGGATTGGTAATTGCAGTGATAAATGTTGCATTATTCTCTTTCTAAAATGCTTTGCTCAATTACTTTTTGTGTTGTTCCATAGGAGCAGAGAGGTTTTATAAAAATATTGAAGATATGATTGGGTATCGGCCATGTATATGGTGGAAGCTCTGCTGGATGGTCTTCACTCCACTCATCTGCTTGGTATTAACGCTATAGCAATAAGTACATTCATTTGTTCTTTCTTATGGTCCACCTTTTATAAAAGCAAGTTAAGATCCTAAGGAAATAAAAACTGAATTTATATAAAATCTGTAATTGCTGCATTTTTGGCAATGGAAACATTCTGCAAAACTTGAATTTCCCTCTGGATCAATTAAGTATCTCTCTCTATCCTAGTGGGTTATTGTGTTTAGTAATTCGACAATTGCTTATGTTCTGTCCCTATTCTCCATTAGGGAGTTTTTACATTCAGTGCCATAGAGATGACCCCCCTGACCTTGGGGAAGTACGTGTACCCGCTGTGGGGTCAGGTGATTGGCTGGTTCATGGCTCTGTCTTCTATGGTGCTGATCCCCGGATATGTTCTCTACATCTTCTGCACCAGCAAGGGAAGCATCAAAACGGTAAGACACATCACATTCTTCATTCTTTCAAGGAATTTTTGCTGCAGATATCTCAGTGAGTACATTTACATGGTCTGTGAAAATCTAATAACTAGAATAATAAGACTGGTGGTGTGTTTACATGCACAAAAGAAATCTGATCTTCATAACACTAAATGACAAGTTAACATAGCACCTTAGTTTGCCCATTTATGCTTAATATTTCAAAACCTAAATAAATGTGAACAATCAGAATGAAGTCAGATTACTCACATCTAATTTAATTGCTTATATTTTAATAATCTGACAACTCTAGATGATCAGATTTTGGTGTGTGTGTACACTATTATAATACTATAATGAAGGTGATAGAATGTTTACTCTGCAGAGGATCTGAGGTCAGGTATTATTCCTAAATTGTGGTTTTGCTTTCACTGTGGACTTGACCAGCGTTGGCGAACGATGACAACTGCCCGGGAGGCTGAGAAACCACCGGTGCATGAAGATTCGTCACAAACAGGAGGCGCCGGTGAGGCTCCTGTGTAACTGCGCTCTGTCAGGCAGAAGTAATCACAACACCACCATCTGTCAAAAACATGCCACAGAACCCGTCTTCTACAACCTGGAAGTTAGTGAAAGGTGCACATGTATAAAGAGAATGTAACATAGATGTTCTTGTGTTGAATCATTATGCATTGCAATTTGGAGAATGTATAAAATACTGTTTACTGTTATTTGTTTTCATTTTTATTGTATTATGATGAATATGCCTACATTGTATTTGTTATAGCATTCAGGTTCAAGTTATTCAAGAATTTACAATCAGTAAAATTGTAAACTACTTTTCGTTATTTTTGAAAGTAATATATTGTTTTAATATTTATACAGTAGGATGATATAGGACATTTTTTATGTTTAATAAGTTGAGATGTAAATTATACCTGAGAAGAACATGTATGTAAATGAGTTTTGTTCATACAATTTTATTATTTTTCTCATGATGGCCTTAGGTAGTGTAATATGAGCGTTCATTACTGTCAGTGTTTAATGCTGTATTAAACCTTTCAGGAAAATCATTAATTTTGCATGTACTACTGTTATTTTATTGACCTAAAATTCTGTATACGGTAAATGTAAATAATAAAAAAAATTCATATATAACTTTTAATAGAATCTGAATTAATCCTTAAATTGGGTTGGCCTAGTTGTGGAACAATAAATTGTCTCAATAAGTCATTCATGTTTTTTTTCAATTCTACAAGTAACTCTTTAGAAGCAAGACCCAGACCATAGCTTGTGGTTAATAGTCATCTTAATAGCATGTTGATATACTGCAAAGACAGGGAACTGTGGAAGGTCAAAGTTCAAACCTGCCTCACTCAGTTCACACTAATGTCCTGTTGGTATTGTAGTTTCTAACATGAGCAAACACAGTGTTATAGACCCACATCCACACACCATTCATGAAGCAGTGCATTGGTATGACGGAGCCCTTTTCACCTTTCAAAACTGAGTGAGACGCACTGTCTAATATGCTACATTTATTTCAGCATAAACCCAAGAATTTCACTGTGCCTTATTTTAACAGAACACAAAGGATGTCAGTTTCCCAGGCTACCTAAACACATCAAGAAATATGACAAAGCTGGTAAACAACAAAGAAATAAAATGGCACAGAGAGGCTTTTCATCTGTGCATTATGTTGTGCAGATTGGCATGTTCATACATCCGTTTTTCTTCAGAGGCTATTTGCTTTAATAAATTATATTTTTCAGTTCTGCTACATATACAGCATGACAGGAATATGCAATGTCTTCTCAAATGAGAGCGCTCCCGACAAACTCACCCATGCACAAAACCTTTTGAAATTCAAAAATTCTCCAATAAGCTGAATCATGCATTACAACAAAAACACACAACCAAATTTCAAAATTAAATAAATAGCTTGAATAACTAAAACATCCATATAGCCATTCCCCATCATAAAACATTTGCAATCTTTATTATATAATTGTAACAACACGTTCTGCTTTTCACCCCAGTATGCCATTAATGTTTTAAGTATCTGGAAATGTTGAAATGGCCAATCACAATCACCTATATATGTTTGGTTTTTCCTACAACTGTCAGCAATCTTTGACCACTTCTGATCCCTGAAGTAAAAGGACACTAAGATGAGATAGACGCCCCCCAGTGGTGGTTTGATGAAAAGAACAAAAAAGTTTAACAGTGAGGTGATGTTAAGCGACCATCTATTCAGCTGTACCTGATGGCCTTATGTTCAAAAGATAAAGCATTATTTCAGACCAGGATGGCCACTGACCTATAAAAGAGCATAGAAATGACACATGGTGATAGCATTTTGAAGAGCGGCGTAGCTTGTCCTTTGTGTCCTGTGTGTTTGAATATGGTATTTACAGTCTTGGCAAAGGGTGAAGAGAAAGTCATCAGATATTAATGCATTCTTTTTGTTCCATTCTTATTTAAAGCAGGCTAGCCAACAGCACAGAGGCCATACCAATAATGCCAGCATTTGCAATACAAGCTGTATACACAAGCTTTTAAAATGTCAGCTAAAAAAAGTTAGGTAGAAGTGAAAAGACACAAAGGAATAAAAACTAAATGTGTGGTGCTGTCAAATATGTTTCTGTAGGTCTCCAAAAACACAGGGTAGTGATACAGTAATGAAAACAAAACATTTTCATATTCAGGCATAACACTGCGATCTTGGTAAAAACAATTTCCTGTTACCCTCTGAAAATAACAGTCATGATCCTAAATGTAAGCAATAACAACGGTGATTTGTTTGGTGTTGCAAAGCTTATATGATTGGATGTTTTTTTTTTTTCGTTTTCTTCTTCCTGTTGCCTTTCTGGTAAGCTATGGGAAATGATGACTATGTGTGAGATTTTGAATCAGCCAAGCCACAGAGGAGTAGATAATAAACACAGCTTATGAGACAGTTTTTGACAGATGGGAACAAAGATCATCCATCACTTACAAATCAGTGCAACTTGGGAACTAGATTTTGATGAAATCAAAGCTAGATTTTGATGGAACAGCTGCTTAGTTGTTCCTTGAGCAAGAAGCATGAAAGGAGGAAAGCAAAGTCATTTTTTCTTCTAGCCCTAGCATTTAGTGCAAAAAGTCTGTTTGCAGTGATGTCTTTTGGCACATCTGCATTTCAGTGTCAAGTATGAACGCACACACACTTACAGCACATAGGCGTGTGAAATCGAATGAGAGAAGCTCAACTGTAGCAGTCCTTGATCCACCCACTAAAGGGGGAGATTGAGTTATGTTTGACAGATTGCTGCTTTAAGTGGCAAGTACTGTACCTACATGAAATCCATCTAAGAACTATGGGAGTTGTTTTTTGTTTTTTTTCAGTAGAATTGACAAAAAGTTATAGAAATTTGTTAAAACCTAGTATATGTAATATTTCAAAATACATGTGGAATCGAGTTTATATATGTATGTGTTTTATTTTCAAAGTAATGTTTATCCTAATAATCTTATCTTAAATATATGCATATAGTGACATTATCTTTTTTTATTATAGCTCTTCCTCTTTGTATGTATATATATGTACATTATGCACTAGTACTAGGTAGTGAGGTGTCCGTGTGTTTCGCGGGGTTATTTACACCATACTCCGCGAGCCGCTGGGGGTCCGGTGCAAACTGAGACGAGGGTCCGGGGGTATGTACTGGTGGGGGTGGTTATAGGGTGGGGGGAGGGGGGGAGAGGCGGCTGATGCCCTCCGTCAGGGGAGCGCACCGGGGTAGACATGGCGGACCGGCTGAGCTGGTGCTGGTAGTGGTGGTGTGTGGGAGTCTGGCTGAGGAAGGCCTCCACGCGGCCATGTCCGCTGTTGTCCAGCATGAAGACTTTGACGATCTGTTGACACTGGATGAGCGCGTCAGGCCGCAGGTCCACCAGGCTGACGGCGGGCTGGTGCTGCAGGGGGACAGTGTGACAGGGGGTGCTGGTCGCAGACTGCAGCTCTGGATGCTGTCGGTGGCTCAGGCCCTGCTGGAAGAGCAGCTCCCCCTGGTGGTTAAGAAGGGCCGCGCTCTCTGGGGTCCGAGCCATGCTGCTGAGCTGGTACGTCTGAAGCCTGTTGTGAATTGACACCTAGTTTAGAAAACAGCCAAGAGAACAGCATCAAATGTTATAAAACTGGTTCCTCCTCTCTGACCCGTCAGCCCTCTTTTGTTTTTTGGGGGGTGGTTGGTGAACAGTAGACATACAGGGCATGCTCGGGTGCTGGGGTCAGTGAAGGACCCTCCCTTTCCCACAGGTATAGTGGGGGTGTTTTCAGATGCTGGAGACACGAGAGTGACACTGGGGTATGAGAGACTGCTACTACAGCTAGGGCCCGTGGTTCCAAAGGGGACACTGAGGGCCCCTGTGTCTCCCTTCCAAACCACTGTGTGGCGGTATGGTGACAGTGAACACAGGAGATTTGAGGTTGGGATCAGGCCATACAAAGTAGAGGGATGGGTGGAAGAAGAGGAGGAGAAGGAGGAGAGGTGTGAGCAGAGTGACAACCACGAACGTTGACAAGCAACACTCAGAAAAAATGCTGCAGAAGATTCAATATCTGTCCTACTTTTGGAACAGTAATTGTGTGTTCTTTATTTAATATACAATGTAATTATTTGCTCCTGACTAAATGGCAGTCTCCTAATAATCAGATGACAGCTACTTTTTAGTGCCAAGTGGTGAAGTATATCTCTCTGTAACATTCCACTGTATCATTCAGGAACAGCAGAATGCGCGTGGAAAGCTCCTGCTGTATTTCCGTCCGCAGGTGGGGCCGTGTGCAGAGGAGCAGGTGACGCTCACTGGTCACTGGCCTCAAACTGGAGCCTTGTTAGCTAAATTGGCTACACCTGCTCAGACTATGCACTGCACTTTTAACGTTCTGTCAATCACTATTTTGTTCTCACCACAGTACAAAGGACGCCGTCAACAAACAACGCCGTGTGAAAAAAAACCCAATACTGCCACGTGCATTCACGTCTTGACCTAGACATATTGCACAAGGAGTCAAACATCTTCACATTCATGCCTGGAGTATACACAGGCTCTTGTGAGTGACCCCTGTTTTTTAGAGATAGATGCGTTTGGACAGCTCCCCACCAACCATTGACATTTACTGTGGGCTGTGTGGCAGAGGGGAACGTTGCTGTTGAAGGTAGCTCAGGCAGGCATGAAGCCTGACCTAAGGTGCGAACATGGGTGAAATAATAAAGAAGAGGACAGACCCTCAAGCTAGTCCACACGATACACATGCTTTGATATCTGAATACGATGTTTAACTTTACTCTTTAGACTTTTTTAATGTAGTTTTGTAGATAAACAATACACCTTAATCATATCAGAGGAGATATCATATTGTCGACTCTTTTTGGCCTCTCACTGGGGCAGTTTACTCTTGTGGTGAAGCCACAAAGTGGGCATCAAAAACAAAGAAAGGCCATCTGCCTGAAGTATTTCAATAGCAAAGGCCCATGGGTAATGTAGCGCAACCTGTTCTTGCTTACAGAGACTTTGTGCATGACTGATTGTCCCTGAAGCTTTGGCAAAGACAGGTGACACGTCTGGGTCCTATGAGCAGTACATTTATCCACCCACATGGTGCAGTGTTAATTAATGTCACAGTGTTGGATGCGTTTTCACTAGCTCTAGCCTGCATGCCAGAAAGATTTGGATTAGTGAGGCTCGTTATTGTTATATCATTGATGTCAAGTAGGGACGTCCATTTAAGGTCCATCCTTGTTTATCTAGTTGGCAAGACTGTAAATGATATGCATAAGTGACATTTATAACAGCACCTGAGACAGCAGTCAGGTAGTTTTGCTTTAGGGGCTTAATATTCAGTAAGCTTGCTTTTGCTTGGGTACATTCTCTCTTTCAGAGTATGACATTTTATATTTCATATATGGTTTTGTTTACTCACTCACAGTTTTGCTTGACAACTTGCCTACAGCACGTTGTACAGGTATTTGACAGGTTATAAGGGGCCAGCGGACCTGAGCTGTTCCTTCCTTCATAGTTTTATACAGTGTACTCCTGAGTAAGAGACTTACCTGCTCAGTAGGACATGCTCTGTCACTAACCACTTACCTCCATCGCATTGTGTCCACTTCTGTCATCTACCTCCCGCTGCCCTGCACAAAAGCACAAGGGGAAAAAAGGAAAAGTATAATTATCGAGCAATGAATTATACATAAACAAAATAATTTTAAGAGGTGCCTGATTGCCTTTTTTATATATTAGTTTGTTTTAATTACTGGTTACACTTGTTAATTAATTAGTGGTTATTGTCAGAGTTGAGTCCAGGGTGTTGCAAAATGTGTTGTTGAAAACTGAAACATTATCTGTATATTATCTGTAGACTACAAATATATGTAAAGTATTTCAAGCAGACATTCACAAACCACTGCACATTTTTAGATGATGATACATTTTGAAGAATTGTGCAGACTCGTTTAAATGTTCCCACGTTTCAGCAGCTTTCCACTTGAAAACATTAACAGAATGACAGTCTGCAGTATAAAAATTAATCCTGAAGAACTGTCTTTACAGCGGCTTTTGAGACGCACCTGATGGAGAAGGTTGTTTGCCACGAAGCTCGAGCTGTGTTCCATTTTTCACCGTGTGCGCCTTCGCCCCCTGCTGTTTCTCCAGTTCCCCTGTGCACAACACAAGAACAAATTATTTTTATACCCAAGACAGGAACCAAAGCAACAAAACATCCAGGTACTGCTGCGGTGTGGGAGTGACAACCATATTAACCGCTGTAATTTGAGCCTCTTTCAAATGAACCTGGATAATATAAACACTTGTGGCACTCTCTAAGCTCCAAACATGACTCTTCATCTCTCTAATTAAACTGCACACTTGGTGGTAATTGCATGTCATTTCCAATCATGATGACTCAATGTGGTTTTGTCTCCTGCACTGCACAGCATTCTGATTTTGAAGAACAACTCTAAAACACACAGCAGTGAGACAGACTATATCAATCTCAGGGAAATTATTAGATGTATTATAAAACCTCCAGCATGTCTATGAGAATTAACAGCAAGAAAGTTCATTTTGGTGTTCATTTATATGGTCCCCCTGCTCTGGAGACAGGAACAATGTCTGCCTGTCACCGCCCTGCAAGTCTTCATATGTTTCTGCCTGCTCCTCCCAGCAGATACATCAGAACCCACTAGGAAGCCTTTCATCACCACTCGCAGCTTCAGAATGCTAAGGACCTAAGATATGTAAGTATGTATGTAAGTATGTGCATAAAAGACACTATTCAGGACTTCATACATAAGATGCTATTGAATATTCCAGCTAGAATGGCCATTGGGCAGTGGTACAAAACAACACACAAGCATGTAGTCCTCAAACATAAAATTTAAGATGCACTATGTAACTTTTCTGCTTGCAGGTTTGGTTGCCGCTATGGAGATGTTAATGCTTTGTCTGGATTGTGGGATTTTGCATTTATTTAAGTACATATGTTTTTATTTTTGAAAATGCAATACATTGAAAAACAAGCACTTTCAATGTAAGTGAACTCACCTCTCCACAGAACCTGTACGTTGACTTAACTGTAACTCTCCATGGAGATAGATCAGCTTAATGCCATACTATGAAAATTCTAGGCAAAGCCAGAATCTCTCCATGGAGTCAAGCAGGTGGCGAACACACCAGAAAAGTTACAAAGTTCACCTTTAATATGCCACATGTTAAAAAATGAGAACAACATGATGAAGAATGAAGAAATGTTATACTGTCTAATATTTCACACGCAAGTGATTAATAAGTAATTAATTACATTTGTAAAGAGAAAAAAATAGGACTTACATTCAATGCGTATCTGCTCCATCTCTGACACCTCTGCAATGGACTCTTTTAAATCCTCAACAAACTTGAGCAGCTCCTCCGCACTCTGTGCACAGAAGTTAAAAACCTGCTTCTTGTCTGAACCAAATGGTGAAAGGATGGTGATGCCATGGGGGTAATCTAATAGAAAACAACAAAAAGATTTGATAAAGTTCTCACAGAATAAACAAAAAAGACTGTTGATATTTATTTATATATGTTGTTGTCTCACTTCCTCAATAGTTATCAAGAGTGCTTCAGTTAAATGTGCAATCAATTTGTTTGTGACTTACATTCATTTTCAAAAAGATGGAACTGCATGCCAAGTAGGCCCATGGCTTTGCAAAAAGTGTATGCAGCAGAGCTCTTCTTTTTTGGACATAACTTCAAGATCTGCAAACAAAAAGACAAGCAAGAAATTACTAGAATTCTGTGAATTGTTCATTTCACCCTCAGTATGCGTTAAGCTCTACCTCTTCTGGTTTGGCAAATAGGATTAAAGCAAGACACCTTTCCGCAGATAAAACAGCATGTTGACAAAATGGATTAGCTCATTTTGGTTATATCAGGGCTGTATAAGCTTAATGTCTGACCCTGAGGTAGCCAGTGAGTTATCTAAAGTGTTTTGCCAAAATGAATTAGACCAATATGTCTCACAAGCCGTTTAGACAAACCGTGAAATTACACTGCTGAAATAGAGTGAAATCTTCAAAGTACTCCTCTATAGAGGTCTTGACTTGTTTTTTTTTCTTACTGTCAAAAGAAAATGTCCCACAGGAGTATACACATGGGTAGGTTTGAAAGCCCAGTGTAGAGAATCCACCCTAGCAATGAAAAGAAAACCTCTTATTGAAACCTAACACCCACAGCAAAAATGTGTTAGTGGTGGCTATACCTTATTATGATTCTCATTCTGTAATAAACAAACACTGAATCATTTAAAGTGCATTGAGCATTCTATAATTATAATACTATTAAAATAAACAAATAGCCAAATTATACTACAAAGTGACTACTACTCCTATCCTTTGGAAAATACAAAGGAAGGAAAGAGTTATGAAACAATCTTAAAGAATAGGAGCACCCTGGGGGAACAGCTCCGAGTCAGAAGAGATGGTGCAATGCAGCTGTCACAACAAAATAAGATTTTTAGATTTTGTTTTGATTTGATTTGTTATAATTACTTGGTGTTTTTAAGAGCACACAGGTACACACCACAATTAGATCATTGAAGAGGAAGACTTCTCTCTGGTGAGCTGCCTGTTTCTGGGGTTTGCTGACATCTGTCACCTCAAACAGACGGCTGCAGCACACCAGTCTGCGGTGAGGCACAGACAGCACCTGCACACACAGAGAGAGCTTTCAGATCACCTGACACATGGTTATACAATACATGATGAGACACACGAATATATGTGCATATTACAAGTAAAAGGTGGTCATTTACAGTGGGGCTAGTCATTCTGCCTCATTCTCCACAGGCTGCATGTCTTGTATAAATGTTGGTTCTTAATCTTATAAATATAAGATGTGTGTTGTTTGTTATGTGTCTGCGTTGTTACCAAGAAGCCATTCTCAACAACAAATGTAACCCAGCCTTGGCTCAAAGTTACTGAGTGCCTCCTTATGTACACATTGAAAGAAGATTAATGTTCTCTATTTGTCCTTAAGATGCTAACTAAGATACAGGCTGACAGTTCCTTTGAATATAGAATCTAATTGCATTTTTATTCATATCACTCTTTTCCAGACACCAGTTGTGGCTGGTGATATAATTATTTATATTATAACTATATATATTATATATAGGCTATATAGTAGTATAATGAATGCCATAAACAGACAGTCATTTTGGTCACCATTGGCTGAACTATATCTTGAATCAATATAAATAATCTGTCTTATATTTCATCAGTCCCCTGTTGTACACTTGCACTGCATTTGGTTATCACAATCACAGCACAACACACAGCCAAACGCAAAGTTTTTAAGCAGCAGTACAATCTGATCCACCACTCACACCCAGCCCCAAAAACACAACCTGATCCACCACTCACACCCAGCCCCAACAACATCAGCAAAACTACAATTAGAGGCTAGGGTCACAACACACATGAAAACATGGCATCAGTGCCACTCTTACAGTGCACACAGCAGAACCGGAGCACCTTTGTTGCACCCACAAGCTCATTTACGCACTATTTACCTGTAAGGCTCCAGATTTGCCCCAAACTAACAAAAACAAGCATCCTAACTTCTCCAGAGGATTGAAGCAAAGTGTACCCTCTATCCACTGTCCTTTGGGCTCTGTCTCCAAAACTGCTCTATTGTCCAATATGAAGAGATCAAACTGGTCCAAGTCCCGATCTAGCTAGGTCCGTGACGGGAGGTCCGGGAACCCAGTGCACCAACTCGTCATAAAACTACTCTTAATCCCAGTTCCCACTTAAAGTTGAAAGTTACGGCCAGTCCATATTAGGACTAGGGCACCAGGTAGACTGCTATGCCCAGGTGAAACATTTCTGCCCTAAAACAAGTGGGCAGAGACTGATAGAGCAGCAAGCAAATGCCCCAGGTCCCTGCAGCAGGTCTGTGTCTGTGTCTCCGCTGCTCTGAGTCTGATGAGTGGTGTCTCTCCCTCACACTCTCTAATGTGGAGGTTTAGGGGAAAGTAACTAGCTGTCACTAGCCAGTGTGCGAATCAAAATAAGAGCTGTAGATATACACTTCAGCCAGCTTAATGCCTCTTTTCTTCCTTGGCAGAAGAAGAGAAGACATGTTACTCCCTAAAAACTGTTCCTCAAATGCACTTTGACTTGAAGTTCCTATGGTAGTAACATGCTGCCAGTGAAGAATTGGAGCTGGGCGGGAGAGAGCCTACAGGCTGAATCACAATAGGTCATGATAAACGCATATCCATGGATAAATGGTTGTGAAGACCAATCAGCTGATTTGAGTTTGCCCTGAGCTATACCCCCAAGACGTACTTCAGGGCTGCAATGTAATGTAATGTAAAGCGCTGAATTTGACGTAAAATGTTCTCAAACTTCAGGCTCTCCCATAGAACTCCATTAAGTTCGCTCTGGCCCAGCGCACTCAAAGGGCAAATGCATGAATCAAATAAAGTGATATGACCATATTTGACATGATAAAATATGTTTATGCAGATACACAATCAATTTTGAACAAAATGTGAAACATATAGCCTAATACAAAATAAGGACTTCTTCCACCCTCTATTGATCAGCTGCCACTGCCTGACACACATCTTAGCAGATTGAGCTTAACCATCTCCTCAAACATGTAGTTAGAAACAGCCTTTACAAATCCTTATATTTTGTGTCAGTGCAAAACCATAGTACTGTATTCATTCACTATGCAATAGCTTATTTATATAGTAGGATTGGGAATTACATGGTTCCTCACGATTTGATACAATACATGATACATGGCTCACTATACGATATTATCATGATATGGCGATGCATGCTATAATTGATCAGATATGTTGCTGTTTTTTAAGAAACAAATACATTTTAGCAACACTATTTCTTTGTTAAAACACCACTTGTGCGAAGTTATTATGGAATATATCTATTTTAATAATCAAAACAGTGAATATGTCAAGTTTTCTTCCACTAAATAAGGAACAAAATTGTACACGTAAAAAGAACCACATTAGAAACTTCCCCTTAAATCTCTAGACATAAGCTGATTCTAACCCACTGACATGATTCAATCTTGAAGAGAGAAACTTTATCGAGAGCACTTTTATTTTCTGGCAGACGCCTCTTCTGGGCAGGAACAGTCACTTCCTGTTACAACGATCCATCACAGTTTGGCTCTGACAGCGTTCTCTGTCATCCTTTGACCACTCATCCATCACACAGATACACTTAAGAAGCTACACACACTAAATTAGAGGCGAAACACTCCAACAGTGTCCTTAATACCATAATAGAAATTATTGAATTGATCAAGACAATTTAAAGGTGCAAGTATGTATTGCCATAGAGACACAAAGTTAGTGGACCCTCCACTAGAAAAGTTACATAGCACACCTTTAGTTGAGTAAAGCTTGATTATTATTTTCTAATACTTTCTAAGTAAAAAAACATATCTGTGGGCAGCTGCCATTGCATTTCAAACAGGACAAGCTTGGAGGGACGTCACTGTAATATGTCTGCTGTGTTTGTCCATTTTGATTGTGGCCCAGTGTTTAACCCAGAGTCAGTTTGAGGACTGCAATGACAGCTGTGTATAATGTTGTGTGTGTTTTGGATGATGATTGCTCTGCTGATGAGACATTTAATGGCTAATAAATGGGCTTTGATAGCACTGCAGAGTCTAGATGCGTGATAAGGACATGAATAATGAGAAAATCACTTGCCTTGGAGCTTGGCACCATCTATTTCCATACTTAGTATTCAGTAACATTCATATTTCTGCTTGAGATGTATTTATGTACTTTAATCAGATCTTTTAATGTAGGAATACTAAAGAGCACCTTTTAGCCGAGATGAGATACCAAAGTTTAATAATGAAAGCAAAAAGTATTAGTACTTTTCAAAATAACTTCAAAATAATCATGATTATAAATAACAATAATACATCTTCAGTAACTAATGAACACAATACAATAGATCTTTCCTTAAATTGTAAGTTGTGTTGTGTAAGTAATCTCCCTTAGAATACCCACATCAGATTACTTCAATAGATAGACTACCAAGTAAATAAAGATGATTTTTTTACAACTACAAACACACAGCTGACCAAACTCTCAGCTCCTAAAAGCAGACAGTCAGACAAAAAGTTAATTCTCACCGTTTTCATGCCCACGATGGACTGTTCCACTTTGGACACATAGGTAACGTGGTCTTCGTTGGAGCGTAACTCCCTCTGCTGGATCCTCTCATAGATCCCCACCACCATGTCTCTGGGGATGTCTGCCCCGTCATCCACACCTGACACATAGTCAATACACAAGGACAGCTTTAATTACTACAGCAGCAGGTGGGATCTTATTGCTTATTTTGTAACTCAACTCAAGCATTATACAGCAGATGGTAAACATGTGTTACAGATTTAGTGTCAAGTCCCTCTATGGTCTGGTCAAAGCCTTTAAAAAAGACTAGTTTATAAATTTATATTTTTTAAGCATGTAATAACTGATAGTGTAACAATAGCCAATGAGGTAATAATGGCCAACAGGGTAATCATTTTGGCCAAGTTTAAATGTAATAAGACCATAATGTAATAACATGGCCAATAACATAATCACAGACATAATCCTGAAAATAATTACTGTCTTGACTTGGGACAGGGGGTCACATGCTTTAACACAAAGAAAGGAGTATAGATACTAGTATGTATATATTGATTGTTAATTGTATTTTAGTCCTTATTTTGGGATTCTTACCATATCCTGAGTTTAGCCACTGCATCAGACTGAAATGTTTGATGCAACCCATTATATACATGCGCAACACTGACTTGTTAATGATTCAGGATGAGTTTGGAGAAAATGAAGCTGTCAAAATTATGTGGGCTGTTAAGGATTACTTGCCATGAGGCCAGAGGGTAGTGCATGTTTTGGTTGAGAAGGGCCACTCTTCTTTTGCATTTTGTCTCACCTTGGCAATCATAAATTAATCATAGCTTGTGCTAATATTACAAAATACAAACAATGAAGCAAAGTAACTCAGGCAATGTATTTCTAATAAGCAAGTCTAGTGGATAAAGCCTGTTTGCATAGTATATAGCCTTTGTGGACAGGCTGTGATAGTGTTTGGTCTGTTTAATTGAGATAATGAATGCAGTAAGGTTGTCCCCATTGGTATCGGTTTCTTGTGCTTAATTGTATTTGAACTCAGACAATTAGATCAGTGAAGTATTCTTGTGTAGCAGTATGTAGAAGAGCTGAGAATAAAATGAGTAAAAAAAACATGGCATGGTATTTTATGGGAAGAATGGAGGGGGTCAGGAGCTCATCTCTGCTGTTTGCAGATGATACTGTCCTGATGGCTTCATCAAACAAGGATCTGCAACTTGGGGTGCGGGTGGCATTATTGTATAGTATTAAATGCAGTGTAACAAAATAAATACAATATACAGATATGCATATGTGTATGTGGAGCAAGAAACAGATACAAACAAGGAGGATGCCTAATTTTAATTTACATGAGATGCCAAAATTGATTTTTAGTTGAATCTAATTGTGGCAAACAGTCAAGATGGATCTAAATTGTCGTGCATCGACCTGTGTTTGCTCATTGAGAGCTCAGCGTACAAGCAAAAAGCATCATTTATCTTTTCTGCTGGGCAGATGTGCCTCCATCTGCAATGAAATGCCAAAACACAGTACTTACAGTTCTATACAAAAATCACACTGCTAAATCACACATTTTTCTCATTATAGCTAGGGAGTGGCATAACATGTTAATTGTGGAGTTTGAAATAAATTAGGAAAACATAAAAAGAAGGTAACAGTACATTAGACAAAGATAGGAGATAGTTGTTTTAGAGACAATATAATTTAATTTTATAAGCTTTTATGTAATATTAATCAGGAAATAAACTGTGAAATGGAGCATGAAGAGTGGTGAGAGACATACAACAAACATGTGTACAGTGGCCAGTCTCCATAGTGTTAAACAATATAATAATTTTTCTTATACATTTTCTAGTAATGAAAAAGTCATTTACCTCTTAAGTTGCGTATGAAATCCTCCAGTAGCATCTTGCGGTCAGGTTTGATGTTGGGACTGTACATGTCGGTGTTGAGCAGGATGATGGCAAAAGCCAGGATGAAGATGGTGTCAGGGTTGTGAAACTGTTGCACGATGTCTGGGTTACACATGCAGTAGCGTTGGCTGCAGGACCAAAGACAAAAACAAAGAAGAAATGATTAGTAATAACACTAGTTTGACAGCTATGACAAATGTGAACATCCATTTACCTGTCCATTAAGAAGTAGAACATGAATACTCGAGGTCAAAGAGGAAGAGGAACCAGACAATGATAAAACAGTTGACAAAAGCTTGTTAAAACCTGATTTATAGCTTTTGTTTTGCTTGTAGCTTTTGAGGCTACTGATAAAGCCCTATATTGATAAACTGTACATCTCCTTGTCCTAAGCTATGGTCACCCCCACGCACTATGCATCATAATGACTTTTTAGTTTTCTTCTGTTAAGCTATATCCCCAACATTTGAAAAACGCCTGAGCCATATTTAACCACTATGGGACAGTTATAGCCGCTGGTCTCTGGATTTATTAGGTTGTTACTGTGCCAGAGAGAATAAGCATAAACTTTAAAGTTAGAAACTTCACTTCAGAGCACTTTTATGTCATGAATGAGACAGTGAGGCTTGGCTTGACACGGGGTGCCCCAAACTATTTGTTGTTTCTGATACAAACCATGAATCTGTCAAGATTGTAGACATGAGGTGCTATGTGTATTTTTAATAACGGTGCCCAGGGGAGAGAGATAAATAGTTTCTAGTTAAAATGCATGAAGTCCTAGTTGAGGCGTAAACAAAACATAACAACATAGACAACAAAGTAAATTAAATAAATAAAAAAAGTTTAAAAAAATAAATGGAGTTTTTCACCTAAACTCACTGAAGTGAATGCGTACTTTAAGTCATTATTTCTGCACAGAAATTGTAGCTCCATAGCTCAGTAAAAAAACTTAATATGTGGCATTTTTTGAGTAGTAAGACCAGTTTTTGGGGAGCATGACCAATTTCAGTATTTAAAAGGATTTTGCACCATTTTGACTTGATGAACTAAAAAAAAATGTTGCATATGAACAGTTCCAACACAGTTCCAAGAGTACTTAATGTGTACTTTAAGGCCTTGTGTTGTCATTTCTAATGCAAGACTTTTTCAACAAGAGGATAACAATATTATACTGGACATTAATGCTTAATCATTTCTCAGGCTTGACACTTCTGCTGACAGAAAATGTTAATTACACAGTTGCTTTTGACGCCCACGGAAACATAATTTATACTGCATACCGGGTTTGCTCTGGGCCTGAAAAATATGAATCCATAATAAAAGGGCAGCGATGACACATGACTCGGTGCTCAGTGAAAGAGTTTGCTCACATTTGGCATTTACACTGCTTTCAGGCCTACTAACCATTGTGACAATATAGTTTTTGTTTTGTAACAAATTATAACTTTGGCAATGTCATAGCTGTCCATTTGAAACATTGGCCTTGTGTTGTATAATAGTTAAGGATACATAAACGTTCATGATTTTTATATATGTGCAAATGGTTGCCTTTTTTGTTTGAAACCCAAACTGAAAAAATACAAAGTTTATTCATTGGTATGTACTGCTGCTTCAAACAAAATGTATCCTCATACAGAATATATCATACATATGCGTATATAGAAAAAGCATTTACAATATGCTCTCTTAAATCCCCGTCACTAACTTCTGAGATTTCATTTTTGCTGTCTCATATTGTATCTTTGTATCTTTGTGTAATGTTTGTCTGTATGGGGACATATCAAAGCCCAGAAGCAAAAGAGGCAAGCAGGGAGAGGCTGTGACGATTATGCAACTGGGGTTATTTATAAACCCTTCTCCCTTGTTTCCTTATATCCTTCCCTGCTTCCTTTTTCCTCCACCCCCTTTTGCTGATGCCAACATGCAGAGCTAACCTGATGTCCAAACACTAGCAGTGCCAGCCCTCTCTGCCTCCTCCATGTGACAGTGATGGCGTTTTTGTCCTCATTGGGCACCTCCACAAATGTGACAGGTGGTTGTTACGCCAGAGGGACATGCTAAACAGTTAGCATTAGCACACGGTGCAGCAGCTGCTGCACAAACTGTGTCCTGATACTTGCTACCATGTAGACTGGCTATGTGGACACGAGTTGAATCATAAAAATGTTGTCAAAAAAGTCAAAAAAGGGAAATATAGAAAGTATGACTACTATATTAAACATGAAAATAACATTATGATCACTACACAACATACACATAGTATTTATTTTTTAGACCTTCACCAACTTGAGCTACAGTTGTAGTCTTGAAACAGGCTGTTACTGTATGATAATACCTCAATTATTACAAACAAAAAAGTCTACCCTTCCTCACTTATTAATATGAACCATGATATGCAAATCATAATAGAAAATGAGGCAGTACACGTTGTCCCTTGGTTTTTGCCTCTTCCAATTAGCCATGTACATAAGAAAGGTTGCAATTACCTGAAGGCCTCAATTAGCCGTTCCACCTTCTGAGCTTCTCCTTGGACTCGAATATGAGCTTGAAACTTCCTCAATGCTTCATCCAGCTCCATGCCTGAGAAGTCCATCTCATCCACGACACAGCTGCAAAAGGAGTGAAGAAATGTTCACATATTCACTTAATGCAAGGATTGAATTACAGTGACTATACAGAGCACAAATAATTTAAATCTATGTTTTATTATAATTTTTTTGTTTACTTTGAAATTTGATAATACTTATGCAAAGTATTTAAGGTGAGTGCTCAGAGTGGCCTCTGCACAGTCCCAGTTCCTCAGAGCAGAAAATCCACCCATTACCTGGCAACCCTTAAGCTTAATGGTTTTAATTAAAAAGGGCTAAATATCCTATTTGATGAGTGTGAGGGCTGGAAATACAACGAGTGCAGTTTCAGGGTGAATTAAGGTTTAGAAGTTAAAGGTGACTTTGAAAGTAACATTCATTTTGGGTTTAAAGTTTAGCGCTTTGATGTAAGACGTAGTGTGGCAGTAGAAAGTACCATGATAATCAAATATGAAATTAAAGTTGGTTTTGAACGCCCAGGTAGCCTTTCATGTGGTGTTTCATGTACTAGATAAGGTCAAGTTAATTACAACTAATGCTTTTAACACAGGATTAAGTTTTTTTTTTTTTGCTCTTTGAAATTGGAACTTGATCAACTCTCTCTGTCTGTGTGTCTTTAATGATCCTCTGGACTCTCCTAACAATGATGTAATATTGAGGGCAACACTACTGAGTTTAGAACTTTACCAATTCAGATGATTATCTATAACCTCATAACATTGTGCTACAAACCTGCAAAAGTGTTACATGGTAAACACCCCACAGTTACCCTTGCACCCAACCTTTGGATTCTATTGTATATGTACATATGTACGTACGTATGTACATACGTATGTATGTATGTATGTATGTATGTATGTATGTATGTATGTATGTAAAACTCACACTTGAAACTTCTGGCAAAAACATGTCACAGCAGCAGCAGAGTGCCTTATCTGCTGTCCATCCTTTCTATTGCCAATGCAAAGCTTGGATTGCAAAGTCCTTGTGGCAGTTACACACAAACACACCTATGCACAGCATACATTTAAGCCAGATGGAGCCTTATTTTGAGCAGCCAATCAGAAGATGACAAGCAGGTGGCATTTCTGGCTTTCCTGCTAAGCACTAAGCTGTCTATGAGTCACTGGGGGATAGAATTTTGTGAAGATTTTGTTAATAAATCTGTAATGAGTCTTGTCTTGTCTTTTGATCCTCACTGCACTTTATGGCTCCCACATATAATACTTTTTGTTAAACTGAATAGGAAAAGGCGCAGATCTGAGGCTCACCTCTGCGGCAAACACATAAAGCTGCTGTCACATCAGGCCAGATGTCTCACAACAGAAAGAAATGTATTTCAGCAAAACAGCATTTTTGTCGAGTTGGACTTGTGCTTTTCAGTGACACAGAGTTTGAGTCACAGCCAGTTCACGTCCAGTCCATGTCCTGTGTCCGGTGTGACAAATTAATCACAGAGATGGTCCAAGTATTTACAATGCAAATTGATGTGCGTGTTTTTTTTGTTTTTTTTTTAACATAAATTACACATAGCAATTTCAGTTAAGAACAATATAGTTGCTGCTCCTGTGACCTGGCCCCAGGTAAGTGGAGATGGATGGATAGTTACTAGAGTAAAATATTAAATATAAAACCAAGTACAATATAAAACCAAAATACACTTTACAAATATAAACCTGGCAAGAAATTAATTAATTTATTTCTGAAAATGATTAGTTTAACTACTTATTCCAAGCCTGATTTATGTACATATACATCATGAATCAATAACGGAATTTTCCATTAGCCACAAAATGATGTATGATACCAAACCAAAGTTAATCTTCTACAGTAGTGTAAAATGCATGCATACCTGCACATAGTAGCACTTGACACATAAAATATTCTGAGTGATTTCTACATTATAGTGAATGCTTTAATGCACAATCCACCATAAATACACAAGAGAGCACTTTCCCATCATAGATATATTCAATATCACTTCCACTTGAACGCTAATGTTTGGATATTCACTGGTCACAAAGGTACAATATATGTCCATGTATGCCAGTGTTACCTACTGTGAACTGAGGTTTGAAGCTAAAAGCATAATCCTGTTACTGGGCCAACCACGGAGACACTGTGGAAAGAAAAGGCTAGGCTAAGTGCTGTCCCGTGTAGGTCTAACCTTGAGAAAACTGTACAGGTAAAGTAATGGGACCTGCTAAATGGTACAATCTAATTCTGCAATATAAAAGATAGAATCACAGTGAAGAGGATTATGCGAGTTATAAACGCTGAAGGACAAAGAATCTTTTTTAGCTCAAAGCAAATGAACGTCATTGAGTTAATGATCTGAAATGAAATGTAGAGGGTCTAATGAGTCACATACTCGTATATATAAAGCCATGAATAACACTTCAAGGGGTCTTGAAGTCATTGAGGTTTTCATTATGTACATGTCATCACAATATACTGTACACTATAGTCAGTTTTTTCATCATATAACTCTATAATCTTGTATAATCCTCACCTCATTTATATGCATGCCATTTTTGTCTGATTTGTGAAATGTTTCATGTCTTTTTGCAAACCAGGCATAGGTCAAGGCAAATCATGAATTATTTTTATAATAATGTAATAGGGTGTGTAAGGAAAAGAGTCTGGAATAAAATCTATAAAGGCAAAATTGCTATCCATACCACTCCTCGGTGCCAGATGAGCCCAAAGAAATACTGAAATACCAGAGAAATACTGTCTTTGCCCTTATAACTTTACTGTTGCAGTTGAAATGTCAAAGTAAGACACATGTTATTTTTATTTAATTATTAAAATGTGTAATATGAAAGTTTTCTGACGGAGGGACCATCATATATTATTGCTTTGCCTGAAATGTTCCTCAGTATGCCATTCAACTTATCCATCTCCACAGAGACAAATAAGAGATGCCACCAGGCCATATTCCAGAGGTGAGCCTGCTCACAGTAAGAACGCATGTTTTTCTAGGTATTTCTTAAGCAATTCAAATGCCTGTAACTGACTTGTTGCAAGTTTTCAAATTTTCATTTGTTTTATTCCTATCTTTAGACCGAACCTTTGCGGCCACTATAGGCAATTTTACCTCCTCGTCTGCCTACATTACCTGTGGTGTGCCGTTAGGTTCTATTTTAGGTCCCATTTTATTTTCTATTTATATGCTCCCCTTAAGACACGTTATAGCCTGCCATAACGTGTCTTACCACTGCTATGCTGACGCAAGCCCCGGGGTCTCAAAATGGCCGCCCATTCAGGTCAGTGGGCCAAACTCAAATACTCATGACTCCAGATTAGCTTAGCCCGGCTACGTACTTTCGGTGGCTCTGGGCTGACTGAGCAAGCACAGTACTGCTCTTTTCTCCCGCGGGCATGTGAATGCAAACGAGCACATGCACGGCGCGCGGTCTCCTGTATCAGGTGATTGCTTTGACCAATCAGAGCGAGAGGAGCTAGTGCGAAGCAGAGCGGAGCCAGAGCTAACGATTATAAAGTGTTTTTTTAAGACAACTGAAGGATTTTGAGCTGAGAAAAAGTTTATGATCTAAAAATAGATAAAAATCACCACAAAATCCAACATTTTTGAAAGTTGTAGGTGCCCTGTCAGCCAAACACAAGCAGTTTGTCATTACATTGCACTCTATGAGAAAAATCCTTTCTCAGCCCTGTGGATTTTTTCCGCTGAAGTACCAGTGAGTGGCCACTACGTCAACGGGAGGCAGCTACAAGCTAACAATACCCTATCCAGTTAGTTTAATAGATCCATGTACTGATGACACACAAATCTGCCTCCCACTGAGACCAAACGACCCTGGGAGCCTGGCTGCTGTATTAAACTGCTTCAGTGATGTGAAGATTCGGATGGTGCAGCACTTCCTATAACTAAACAGCTCCAAATTTGAAATCATTTTAATCAATCCCCCCCAATCCATCTCCCATATCAGCAATAGTCTCGGCCCTCTCGCTCCCAACATCACTCCTGCTGCCAGAAACATCTCACCTCAACTTCACTTCACGTCAAAAAAGTCACCCAATCCTGTTTTCTCCATCTCTGCACAATTAGCAGAATCAAATCTATCTATCCTCTACCACCGTAATCTTTAAAAAGTCATCCACACGCTCATCTTCTCCCGTCTAGACCATTGCAACTCTCTCCGATCTTGACTCCAAATCCATCTCCCGCCTCCAACTAGTTCAGAACACAGCAGCTCAGCTCCTCATTGGTTTTAACAGACACCAACAAATTACCTGTTTTAGCTTCCCTTCACTGGCTGCCTATGTGTTCTAGAATTCATTTTAAGATTTTACTGACTACTAAAGGTTGTTTAGGTCTTGCACCATGTTACATTTCAGAACTTTTAACCCCGTATGAGCCCTCCCGCAGCCTTAGATCCTCAAGCAGGTTCCTGTTAGCTGTTCCAAAGTCCAGGCTTCCACCAAAGGGTGATGGAGCCTTTTCAGTCTGCGCACCTCGGCTTTGGTATGACCTGCCTGAAGAGGTAAGGCTCACACCATCAGTATCATTTTATAAATCACTTCTGAAGACTCACTTTATTCAATTTATTTTTATTTATTTATAATAATTAACTGGATTATTTGTATCATTGTGTTTTTGTATGCTTTCTGTATGCTATTTTTATGCTTTTTGTATTATTTTTTGCTGCTTGTACAGCACTTTATTTAGCACTTTTAAAAACAAGCTTTACAAAGATTTATTATTATTATTATTATTATTATTATTATTATTATTAATAATAATAATAATAAGTTTAACACCATACTATGGATCATTCAAGGTGGCAGGCACAAGTTATATAGTGCGTGTTTGAGTGTATAGTGCATCTTTGAGTCTCTTGTCATTTTGCTACTTATTTTGATTTTGAATGTATTAATACCATTTATATTTTTGCTCTTTATTATTATATTAATTGCGTGAGCTACTGTGTGCAAATTGTGTGCCCTTATGGAAGTTTGTCTAAGTCTAACTGTATGTGTATGTTGTATGTGTCATGCATATTTTATGTTGTTCTTCTAATTTATTCAACACCAAGGTGAACAAAAAGATCTTCAGAGGAAATATTGCATAAAACACTCACTCAAGTACATCTCTGTTGAACGGCTTCTTGCTGTTTCCCAGGAACTCTCCGATCATCTGGCGACTCAGGCCCTTCCTCTGCAGCAGGAAGTGGGCTACACCGATGGGAGTGTCTGGGATGAAGCCTCTGGAAATCAGGAACTGCAAGCCTTTGTCTGGGTTTCTAATAGAACAGTGAAGACATGAGAGAAGTGAGTTTAAAAAAAAAAAAAAACTCACTCAGCTTTGTCCTGTCACTGATGAAGATGCTGAAGTTTAATCTAAGAGACACTCAAAGGTTAATTAAATAATCGTATTCATCCCTTCACTAGGTTACAACATTCATTAGCAGTTGCATGTACTGCTACGATCTACTTAAAGAACAAATGGCCCTGCATGCTTTTCCACAGAGTGCCTTTGTAATTGTTTTCTTTCACATGGTTATGAGCAGTTTTATTTGTCTCATTTTTCCCCTTTATTGGCTGTAATGCCTTTGTAACAGCATCCTAAAATGAATATTGCACAGATATCATCAGCTAAAATTTGTTTTTAAGCAGTCCAAAGGAGAATCAGAAAAAAAAAGTATTGCCATTGTCAGTGAGCAAAATTCACAGCTAAGGAATGTGCTTTGGCAATTCGATGCGTTATATATATATATAAAAAAAGCATAGCATAATATCAGGTGTTCAAAGGTAAATAAACTTTGACAAACTATAAAAATATACAGCAGTGCTATTAAAATATGCATTCTCTTTCCAATTTATTTAAGTTTTTCAGTGAGAAGTCACTAGGACAGGGGTCATATAAGTTAAAAATGTATCTGGGTGGTTCAAGGTTTTTCCAACCCACTGCTTTTCAAATATTGTCTCAACATCTCATTGCTTTTCATGAATTACTTTTCACAAACAAATGCTTCACACTGGTGCCTACAGTCAGGCAAGTTTTCGGCCCAATGCATTCAGATACCCCTATGTATATTGACTATTCATAACCCCTATTAGGCACAAAAGAGAGATGCTCCAGGGACATTCTCCATTACTGCCTCAAACTTTTGCTCCGTACAGTGCTTAAAACCTTTATGTAATGGGGCAGTTTGTGTGCTCCCTCTAATGGGCTTACTAAAGGGACGAACTGGACGCAGGGGAGAGATAGAGAGAGGACAGTGTGGAGTACAGGGCAGGACAGAGGCTTGGAATAGGACCAAACAAAGCAGATGTTTGGAAACAGAAATATGGGACCCAAGGAGCAGCTGCCAAGGCAATATGGCTAAATCCCATTTCATTAAGAGGCAATGGGAGATGCATTACACATGGCGATATACTATATTACCTCCTCACAAGTGGTATTTAGAGGAATATATTTCACAAAACTTTATAGCAAGACTATATAGTAAAGCTATCTTAGATTTTTTTTATTTCAAGAAATACATGTAAATGTCATAAATTAAAATAAGCTAGTTCAGCCAGGTCATGGTAAAAAGAAATATATGTTATCATTATAGGAACAACTCTTTTGTTCAAATGTACACACTACATAGTTGCCACTGGATCAGAATATGTTCAAGAGAAAACAGCCTCTCCTACATGCTGAGGCACTATTCCCATCTCCCATTTTCTGTCTTGTGTCTTCCATAAATACAGCTCTCCTTGATATTCACTTTACTATCAGTCTGTTTTACTGCTAATACACAGATGTTTGAATGCTCAGCCTGCACTGTATTTTATGGCCTATACAAGCGTTTCATTGCCTGCACTTCAGCTTGTGCAGATGCAGATGTTACAGTTTCATTACTAACCATAGATAGATTTATGTAAGAAGGGCATGATTGTTGCTGCTATAACTATAAACTCCTCAAAAACTCCACAAATTAAAATATAGTTCTGGTTTGATACAAATATATGCAATTACATTTTATTTTTTTTAAAACTCAGTAACAAGCCTGGTCTTGATTGGATCTAATTTTGGAAGATTTTCTTTGATTGCCTTTAAGTAGATAAAATAACTGTATTTCAGAGCTAAATTGGTGATTATCTCTGTACTCATAGGTTTGCTGCAAAAATAAGCACAGTAATTAAGTCCAAGTGCCTTAACATGTTATAAAATGTAAATTAGAATCACCACGACAAAAAATGTAGTTACTTTGACATTATCAAAGTTTAGTGTAAACTAAAATATATTAAATGTTTAAAGGTGCACTATGTAATTTTCTGCCATCATGGAGATGTTGCTTTCCCTGAAATTTTTCACAGTATGTTATTAAACTTATCTATTTCCATGGAGACGAGCATCATGCCAATTTACAGACCCGATTTGTGGAAAGGTTGGTCCTCTTGCAGTAAAATGCATATTTTTCAAGGTATTGTTTTATTATAAGAAACACTTATAATTAAATAATAATTATAATAATAAGCTAGTTTAATGTCATACTGTGGTACACTCCAGGGAAAGCAATCTCCCTAGAATATCTCCATGAACACAACAAGGCACTGGACTGGTACCAGAAAAGTTACATAGTACACCTTTAGCAGCATGAACAATGCACTTTCTGTAGCTGTGATCACATGACTATAGCTTAACACAACATTAAACTTGGACATTGATGAATAATAAAATTGTGTTACTTTGGAACATTGAAATATAGGAGAATTTACTAACTACATTATGTTTTCTTTACATTGTTCTTTCTGCCAAGCTGACACTCACTGCATATGCATGATTTTGTTCAAACAGCCAGAAAATATCCCACATTTAGCCTAAAGCAAAGCAGCCTGTTTAAGATGCACAGGCTACAGCTGCGCAGGTATTAGGGGGAGGATATGAACTGGTGGAACTAATAAGCCTCCAGCTTTATTGCCCCACCTCCTGTGCATATATTTCTGCTCTCCTTCCTCATACTATCTCACACTTCCTCTTTTAAACCAATTCATTAAATCTGAGCTTATCTGTGAAGGTGTTTGATTAGAGAGGATGGAGAGGGGGATTGCTGATAGACAGAAATGTTCACTATTAAATTATCTTATTTTTAAAGGCCATATATCTGTTAAGTTAAACGTTATCATCTTAAATCAAGTTATTCGCCATGGGGAAAGGAGTATTATCTAAAACTAAAGCCTCTGGTGCTATGTGGGGCCATCTAGAGTTTGAGTATTTCTTCTCCTTTGGGTTTATCATTATTTAGAACTACCTTATCCATGTTCAGCCTAATATTAGAGCATGTTTAGCTCCAACTGAAAGCTAATTTTTTGCAGTGTTACATTCCAATATTAAGCCTTTGGCTAATCAACTTCTATAGGAAGCCTGCAATAGGATATAATAATGCAATGTTCTTCTGCTGCAGTATGATTAGTGAATATCTTAGTTCACAAAACAGTTTTGAATAATTCACTGCAGCAAATCTAGTTCATATGGAGAAATGACTCTAACTATTGTTATCAGCAATAAAATATGCAAATTGTTCTAAAACTTGAGTTATAAGTTTTCAATGTCTCATTATTCAAAAAGAACTTATAGTGAAATTTGTGGCTAATGAGTATTTTACATAATGTTTGTATAATGAGAGTTCTTTTTAATTAATAGTTGCTATAGTGCACATTCAAACATCTGCTTATTTAAACACAATTTGTTAAAACATAAACATTTGAGAAAATAACAATATAAGTGTTAAAATAAAACAATAAGTTTGTAATCTTTAATCTTTTAGTGAGACGAGAAATGTGGCACAACAAGTACGCAACTTTTAACATGAATTAAGACAAACCTTAAAAAGCTGCATGTCTATGGTAATTTATACAGTGTAATTCTATTAGTGCATCTGATTGCATCTTCTATCTCTCTTATTGATTTTCCGCACTGACATCTCTTTCTGGGAAAACAGAAGGCACCTCAGACAACCAGGGAGCTGTGCCTGATACTGTTTGTTCTTTGAGCGCGATGGGGAGCTGTGAAGAAAAACGTTTTGGCTGCAGCGTTAGCCCAGAGGTACCCCATCAAACTTCAAGTATGGCCCCAGAGAGATGGGCGCATGAGTTCAGAAACCAACCACACTTCTGCTGATGTCCTGCCACACTCCTGAAGGTATGAAAGAGGTACAACTATTCTGCTGCAAAGTCAAGACACAATGCTAGAGCCTATAGCATATAGGCCTTATACATTACATTACATTACATACATTTATTATACATATTATGTATGTACATGGTGAACAGAACACCAAAATGTAGGTTTTCAGTCATGATAAGGCTAGGGCTAATACAGTATGGATGTTGGATTTTTAAAATAATGTTGTACCATATTTACATACAACCAAAAACTGCATCTTAACTATTTACAGACTAAACTGTGAGTTGTTTATGCACCCTTCTTAGATATTTTTTACTAACCCTGTTTCATCCCCAGTCCAATTCTGTTAAAAAAAAAAGTCATAATTTAATTAAATTTTTAAGTATTTCATAAATACATAATTTATCTATTCCATGTTTAAATGCAGAAATGCCTGAAATGTATTAGAATTGCCTTTTACATTAAAAAAAATAAAAAATCTCTCTCTCTATATATAAATGTAATAATTACACGTTGAAGAGGTTGAGCCCGATGCGGTACAGGCGCTTCCTCATGACGTCAGTGGACAGCGTGGGTGACTTGCAGCTGGCCGGGTTCTCACAGTGGTACCGGGGAAGGCTCAGGATCATGGCCTGCAGCGCCTCTTTCGATGAAGCTTCCGACGTGGAACGCGCCTCTGTTGAAGCGCTACTACTGCTCATCTGTTCTGAACTGTTATCTGCCATCTCCGAGCTACACCTCTTCACCTCCAAAGTCTCTACCACTGGAGAGTGTCCTGGGACCGCCTGCTGGTGTGTGGCTGTAGTTGGAGGGGCTTGGGGTGGTTGTACGGGGGGCGGTGGAGGTGGAGCGGGGATTACTATGTCTTCTACTGGCGGGATTTTATCTAGAGGTGTCAGTGGGGGTTGTTCCAGCTCTTCTTCACTGGGAGGTGGAGCAGGGAACTCTACATCTTGTTCATCCATATCAGCTATCTCCGTTTCTGGGGGAGGGGGCGGAGGTTCTTGGGGTGGTGGTGGTGGAACTGTAGTTTTCACTGGGACTTCAGGTGGAGGAGGAGGGGGCGGTTGCTCTTGAGCCGTGGAAGCTGGCGTGGGTGTTGAAGTAGCTTGTTGTTGTGTGCAGCTGGTCAGGTTTACCGAAGCAGATGTCTCCACCACGGATGACGAAACCGTAATATTCTGGTTGTCTATCTGAACAGTCACATCGCGTATGGCCATCATCAGTTTGCTGGCACTTCTTGACAGTTCACTTGGATCTGTAGGACCTTGAGATTCGCCACCTTCTCCTCCTCCACTTGTTGCATCGGAAGTAAATTGATATCCACCTCCTTCCTGCAAAGAGCACATTGTCTTGAGACTCCAGTTGCTCAGAGCATCATCTATAGACTTGGCCAGTGACTGGACTTGCTCTGTAAAGGAATCTTCCAGGTCGGTCAGGGTGCCTCCCACTGTGGCGGGCAGTGAGGGGGAGCGCACAAGGGGTATGCCCGCCAGGTTGCAGCCTTCAGCCAGAGCTCGTTCAGCGGAGAAGCCCTCGGTGTTGGGGACTCGGACTTTCCGCATGGAGATCCGCCTGGGCAGCCGGCTCTCCAGGAGGGAATTACGGATCTTCTCAAAGTTCTTGCTGAGCTGGTACTGGCGGAAGGCGGTCTGGATCTTGCAGGCAGCGCGGCGCGAGATGAAATGCCCGCCGTACTTCTGCTCTAACATTTCGATCTACAAAAGAATAAAACAAAAAACAAAATGTGAAATTAATTAGCTTTATTTAATATGATATCATTGACAGGCTTCCACTGAGAATGACTGGCTGTACAAATAAAGGTTAAATGACTCAGCGGAAATGTTGTGTGCAGTTGTGAGGTTTGATGAGATGATTGTTGGCTATGAGAGGAGGAAATGAAAGAGATTAAATTATTAAAGGGGTTATAGCCCCTCAAGGTCTCCATGTGCTACATATTGGTAATATTAAACCAGGACATTTTTAGTATTTGCTTTTTTATGGCCCATTGTACTATACTAAAACTAATAGCACCTTATTAGCATTTTGTGACACAATGAAAATGCATTACAAATGTTGAGTGATACTTGTCAAGCAATGAAAATCAATATGTAGAAGAAAAAAGAGAAGAAAAACTGAGAATTAAAGTAACTTGTATTCCAAGCTTATGGTAAATGAGTAAATGAAAAATAATTATTATAAATAGCTGAATTAAATATTTAGTTACCAAGCCTGAGGTGCACCGAAACTCTATAAAAACTTGCTGAGTCACAACATTTAGAAAATTTTTCATTTCTTCACCAAATACAACCCATTATCTCTGCATATCCCACAGAGACGTTCTCCTTACAAATCAAAATTGTCTAAATGTGGAAAAAAGCTATTAATCTTTCTTGTGAAAAATTGCCCAAATGCTGTGGGAAATAGATAGAGATGTAATATAGCCACGTTCGCCTGGCAGCAGCTCAAACAGTAGAATGAAACCTCTTTGAGTTTCCCAGAACAATCAGGTTGTGGAAGTGCCCTTATCTCGTCTGTACACTGCTCTGCTCATTTTGAAATCCTTTTTGCTTAAGTTCAATCAATGAATGTACTCCTCTCTGTGATCTAATTTATCATAAGCCAAAAGTCTTTTTACATATTTCTTGCATTAAACAAAAGAACAAAATGTGTTTTTACTGTACGAAGATGCAATTACCACAGATTTAATTTTAGAACATAAATACACCAGCTTTTCTTTCCCATAACGGTTAATGTTTTGTTAATTTTTTTAGGTAATCCAAGCCACAGGCGGGTCTAAAGATAGTGAACTGTGTGCCAAGAATGCATTAATGGTGAAAAAGAAAATAGGAAAGATATATGACGTAATGCTAGCGCTATTTGCTATGCCAATTAATATGCAAAACACAAAACATACCATTTTCAGTGACAACCCCATTAATATATGCACTGAATTGAATTTGCCCTAAATCTATCAAAGCATGAACTAAAAGTTAAGACTACATCGAAATCTCTAACCTTTTTAAGTCTTTTGAAGGTCAGTTAACCAGGGCGTGCGCACATCTCGCTGCAAAGAGGTGCTGATTGGCTGTAATGCCTCGAGGCTTTGCAATTTGTGGTAAGTGGTAAGTTCAAGTCGACACTGCCTCCCTCATTGTCATTGGAGATACGCAATCACATATGAAGCTCTTTAGAATAGACCAATGATACTGAAAATCCATCTTATCTAAAGCATTTACATTTCACTGCAGTGCCACTGTGAGCCAAGTGGGACGGAGTGAGAATATTAAGGTGCTTTCTGAATAGGGTGCACCACTGTTTGATAGGGACATCTCTGTGGATCCTGTTTCCATCCATTCTAGAGCATCCACACTGAATATATATCACCTATCCCTTATATGCTATAAAAATGGCTTGAGTCATGACATTCACTTTTAAAGATGCCCACACAGGTTATATTAGATTAACCTCAGTATTTATTAAGATGTCCCTTCTCCAAACGTCTGCCATGGTCTTCAGCAGCAGGTGACCTTTATACACTGGATGTGATCTCATGACAGTTGTTTATTACCTTAGTCAAATAGGTTGGGCTTTTGAATTTTCAGGAAGGGCCAAGATAGATTTTTGTTCAATGGACAAATAATTTATAAATGAACTGAACTGAGTGGCAGCTCTAGCTATTCAAAATGGATCCGTGCACAGGAGCCCATCAAAAGTTGACATATGAAAAGGAAAGATTTAGCCATTAAGTCTAATTTGCCACTATAGTCCCAATCAGTATCCTATTTTATGTGCTTAACCATTCCTTTATTTTCAGCTCACCCATGCAAATACAGCAGAGAAGCTGGTGTGTCCTGTTTGAACTAGCAAGACATGTAGGCCTCATACAGTAATGAGGTCTGTTCTTTGAGTGCTACTAGATTTTGTTCTGAAAATACATATATATCTTACTGAACAAAACTTTGCTACCTGAATGCTGGACCAACAAAAAGGAGATCTGAAAATTTGATGTGACTGAGCTAGAACAAAAAAGTTAGTACAGCAGCAATAAAATGGAAAAACTAAAAAAAGTGTCTTAGACTGTGATAGATAAAAGAAAGGCAGGTGAATGAGGAAAATGTCTAGAAAAGGTTCAAGTGAATCCCTGTTATTCGTCTGTCACTGCTGCCTCTGATCACTTCACTAAGTGCTGATAGAGAGAGATTACTCAGGGAGAGTCGCCATGACACCCCTCCTCTATCAGGGCCTCCAAATCGATTGTGATGGACAAACTAGCACTGCAGTGACCCCATGTTCTGCTTTCCTGTGTGGCATTGGACATACCTCAGCAGGTGGAAACATAAAGGAAATGTGCAACAAAAGACAGATTGATTAAAAGATAGAATTATAGAATGTAATTATAGAAGATAGAAAAATAGAATCAAGAGAGATAAACATAAATATTTTATGTCAAAGGACATTTAAAAGATTTACAAAGGTTCAGCTTAATGTATGAAATATTAAATCCCTAATAGTATAAAAATGTGCCTTTGATCGAATATAGATAAGTTGAAAAGGAGTTTCTTAACAAAGTGCCACCCCAACACACATAGCCCACATAGTCTATATTGTTATTCCTTGAAGTAGTATTTGGTTATTTAAATAAACAATTACATTAGTCTTGTCACCCCTAATGAGTAGTTTGTGGGTCTCAGCTTCTAAATGTGCCCATTATCCCATCTCAGAGGGTGCAAAAACTGAGGGCTAAAATGCAAATCTGCAATTATTAGTTTTCATCTGTGCTCCGTTCAGAGCACAGAAAAATCAGCATGATTAATGAGACGATTATATAAGAGCAAAACTGGGACACAACTAATGCTGACTGGATTACAAAATGAAGATGATAAGGTTTGACGTCACTGCAAGATTTTAACTGTTTCGTATATCTGAGTTCACATTTTACTTGTAGATCAAAGCATATTGATTCTACAGTGTGCTTTTTTAAAATTAATTGTAATGATTATGGTCATCATTAAATGCGCCCTTTGAAACTTTAATAGAGGAGTGTACATACATGGGGATTTTGATGCTTTGCCTGGAATGTTCCACATATAGCATTAAATTCATGGAAACAAACAGGTGACACCTCAAAAGCAAGTTACACGTCAGATCTGTAAAGTCACCGTTCCCTGTAAGAATGCTTTTTTTTTTTTTTTTTGCCATAAAACCCATGAATAAATGCAAGATATATATGTTTAATGCAATACTATGGAACATTCCAGGCAAAGCAATAACATGGTCACATGGCGTAGTATTAAATTCAGTTAAATTAAATATTTTGTGCAAATGTAGACAGTCTAATACAGTATTCAACTTTAGGCTGGACAACTGAAAGAAATATTTCATATCTTGGTGATAAATGTTGTTAGATACATATTAAATTTGCTCGCAGAGTTTAGTGCTAATTATGCCTCTGCAGCAATCATTAAAGCTGGTCTTTTTCATTAGCAATCACTTTATCATGTGTCTGAAACAATGGTTTGCAGACACTGAGGACTTACCTCGTAGCCCTTTCCTTAATGACTTTCCATAAATTTGCAAATGAAGTTTAAATAGGTAAGGCTTAGCAATGTGAGTTCATAGAGCTTTGGTGAGGTATCCTTATATAGTGTCAGAGCTTTAAGTGTAAATGGAAATCTAATGCAAATTCAAAAGTTTTATCATTAAAATAAAAACGTTTGTGACTTTAGGTTGTTCAGACAGCACCATCTGTGAAACATTGACAATATGTTTACAGCTTGAAAAATGTGTTGGTTTACCTTATTGCTTCCTTAATGAGAAATGTGAGATGTTTGCTTTCACACACAATTCATGTTGTAGGCAAAAACTATTTAGAAAATGTTGTTGTACAATGCAGAATTATGTTTACTGCTACTACTTTTTTAAGTCGTATTCAAAGCTTCAATTAAAACAAAAAAATATATTATATTTACAAATGCTGCAATGAATAATGTATTGAAAACTATAAGCACTATTTTGTTGTAATGTAATAATATGGTTGACTAAGGATGAAGAAAATTAATTTAATGTTCAAAATGTAATCCTTTTTGTTATCATGTTCCATAGAAACAAAAAGCAGTCAACTGGATGGCTGTTTGTGAAAATACCCAATCCACATGATTATATATTGCACAAGGTACCACATGTCTGTGCTTTGTGAGAATTCACTGAACAATATGGATCACAGAGGTTAAGTAGCAGGCTTGAAGGAAGTTAACGTTTAAGTCAATGTCTCCTTCGCAGCAAATCAAAGCACCAGTGTGCAGATCCAATTACTCCGACATTGATCTTTGGTTGCACCTCCCCCCACAGCAATGACAGATGATCAATCGCACTGATCAACTATCTCAAGGCCCGTCGACAGCATCATAAAGGAGTTAGCCTTTCCGATCATAGATTAGGAAACTGGAAATAGCCAGGGAGGAGTAAGGACCTGTAGATTTAGATAGGAAAATGATAAATTAGGACATGAAGTCAAAACTGAAGAAAAATGAGGTGAACGAAGAGGGGAAGAAAGTAGAAAGATACGATCTCAGCAGAATATGTTCTCAGTTTATTGGTAGGGAGATTCTCGTTCAGAGTATTGCTTTAGAGTGCAATTCTATTATTAAGTTTAACCAAATGTAACTGTGTGTAATGAGGACAGGCAGAAGCTGGGCTGCCTTACCTGACTGGGGGTCCATGGAGAAGACGAGTATGGTTAGGAGAATGAAAATAGAAAAGCAATGGTGGGTGGATCCTGTCATGATGGGAGTTATTATGAGATGACATATAAAGACCTGGTGAAAAGCAACAGGACAGATAACATGACAATGCACATACTAGTCACACACACACATTACAGGTTTTCCTATTGACTACAATTTATGTTTATATAGACAACTCACAGTTAACAAAAAGACAATTGTGCATCTCTGGATATGAATTCAACCTGTGAAATACCTGTAACTAAAAATCTCAAATTAAAATTAATTCTTTGGGTTAAAAGACATGTTAAAAAAGGATTCTCCATGTCAGTGGAAAATCTTACAATATGGAATGTACTGACAATGTTATGGAAATGCTGATGGGGCAACATGGTGTTTATGATCATGATTATGATAAGGAAGCTCATTTTATTCAGATATCTTGTAAAAATACACATATTCCATTAATTCCCTCCCCATTAAAAACCCAATCACATTTATCAAACCACAAACTGTTCACTACTAACACACTAACACACATCCACACGCCCTCCTCTACCCCACCCCTCAACCATTCAACACCGACACCCTACCTGCTTATTTTTGAGGTCAAGTGAGAGCTCATAGTCGGACGTTTTGGGATGCGATCCAGCCCCGTTTCGCTGTACCCTGAGAGGCGATGCTGTGTGGTGCAGACTGGCTCTTCTCCCTGCCATGCCCCCTTTGGCTCCTCCCCCTTCATCCTCATCTTCCTCTTCTGGTGGTTTAGACTCCTCTTGCTTCGTCTTAACTTCTGCAACTTCTTCTTCTACTACTTCTTCTGTCTTCGTCTCCTCTTGAATAGGTGTAGGCTCCTGTGGTAGTTCTTGTGGTAGTTCTTGTGGCAGTTCTTGTGGTGGTTCTATTGGGCTTGGAATCTGAACCTGTGGAGCAGATTCCAGTTCTGGTTCAGAGTCAGGTTCAGGGGAAGGAGGGGGCGTAGGGTGGGGTTCTGGGGGAGGTTCTGGTTCTTCTTGAGGTTGTGGTTGGATTTCGGGTTTGCTCGGTTGCACTGGCGGCGGTGGTTTCTCTTCTTGTTGTGGGACTTCTGGTTGGGGAGGTTCTGGTTGGGGTTGTGCCTGGATCTCAATCTTCTCCCCCTCGGTTTCACCTCCCTTCCCCTCCTCCCCACCAGAAGGCGCTGGAGATTGGTCATCGCTGCAGAAAGGAGGAGAAAACTCAGAGTCAGGGGTGCTGCTGATCCGTGGTGAGCTCTGACCTCGTCTTGACGCTGTCTGGGTTCACCTGTGTTTGTGTGTGGCCTCACTCATTCTGCCCTTGTACTTGCCCTGTGCTATAGCTAAGCTAAATACCATAAACCATCAAACCACTGTGTGTGACAGAAACTTGATACAAACATAATATTTATCAAAATCAAAAGTGACAATATTTAGAACAGACATCCAACACACACAGACACACGCACACACAGGGACATAAGGACTGTCATGCAGTGTGGCTTTAACAGTATGTAAAATCAGTTAGTGGCTGTTCATTGTAACTGTATCTATAGAGTTGCCCCCTGTGTTATTTGCACCATTTTCCACTGACCAGTAATGTAAGACATTATAGAAGATGCTCAGTTTTGGGACAAAGCTGTCATTGACTATTCATTAATGGCCCTGTATCCATATTTTTTCCATGTATTTGAGCTCAAAATATGTCAGTTGCATGCTGTATGCTGAATCTAATTATAAAGTGTTATTGTTGTCCAATAATCACAAAGTGTGCATTAGCATGCCAGTTGTTGTTGTTGTTGGTTTACTGTGACAGCAAAACTCTGCTTTGATCTCTGAAAGTTAAAGGGCTTGTAAACTCATCATCACAGTAATTAAGATGCTTAGAATGCATCCAAAACAACACCTTTAAGCCCATAGTTGCACCACAGTCTCTGTTATTCTTTCAGTTCAAGCAGCTTTATAAGGATGTTAAGGGTTGTTCTCTGGTGTAGCATTTTTAAACTTTAGTCATCCATTTAGAAAAAAAAAAAAAAAATGCCATAGCAGCAAGATAAATATTTTGCACTCATTGATTTATGGTTGTGTGCAGTATTAAAAAATGCTATTGTAGTTGAGATGATAAATGATCACTTTTACTAACCCCAGAATTTGGACTCTGCGGAGTTTAAACAATCATAAAAACTGTAGAAAAGCAATTACACCGGAACTGACACTTTAAAAGTGAACAACAGATACACTTCTGAGCAAAATCTTGCAGAGTAAAGAGTGTGTTTTTCAGTCAATTCCCACATTGGGAAGTTTGAATTAAAAAGTTATATCATGCTGGAAAAACTTTGCAATCTCTATAAATACATTTATTCAATTACTCCAGTGTTTTACAGGCACATACAGTATATCAGAAGAAACCCAGCTAAACCCAGTCTGCTATGCCTTCCCGCACACCAGTCTCACATTCATTTCACTTGACGGAGCATAAGCTGGAAGAAAGTATCTTAACAACCGCTACTTTTAAAATAGAGCTTCTATGGGTGATGAATAATAAATGGGAAAATAGTCTGATGCCTCTACCCTCAACTCCAGGTGAGGCTTTCTCGCACGAAAATAGATATGGTTGGAAAAACAAGTTCCTTTGGGGGGAAGAGTTGTCTGTTTTACACCACAGACAGTACTATTGTTCTGAATCCAAATGTAGACTTTTTTACATTGTGTCTGATAAACTGACACCAAGTAATCTATAGGAGGAACAGGCTTTAAGTGTGATAAAGTGAAAAGTTTCAGTCGCTGTGCTGCAGGGAAGGTGTTCAGAGGGGATTATTCATGAGGTGGCACATGCTGTCAGTGATAGTATACAGTAATACGTCTCTGTGTCCTGCAGTGTGAATCAGCTCCAGACCTATTGTAAACAACACTCCTTTGATCCCACCTGGAAGTCGCCTTGAAGATTCATAAGTGTTGCACTCGTCCATTTTCAGTGTAGCCATTTCTCTCACATGCACTTCCACTGTATAAAGTGTATGATTTAAAGTGACTTTATCCAGTTTTTATCCATGTTGTTGAGCAAACTGTGTATATTGTATGTTATATTCTAACAGTAACTCTAAGAATCAAAATGAGAGTTTTCTGTCTACATCTAATTTTATGTGTTTTATCATCCAAGAACCAGGAAGTGTGCTGTAAGCACGCTAGTTGTTGTTAGCTAGCAACTCTGGTCTCTGAAAGTTCTGAAAAACACAACATCACTGTGAATAACTGGGATGTTAGGAATATAGAAAATGAAAAATAACTTTGGACCAACGTACATGTTTTTAAGGCAGTGAAATTAGGTACAAACTGATTTTGTGTCTCATTGGTGGATTGGTTATGCTGCTTTGTAATTTGTGCCTCAACACTTTGAACTCTATCCTCTGGTATTTGTGTTTTTGTGCTTTTTTGTTGGTCTTGGTTTTTATTTGTATGTCCATTGTCCATAGCACCTGATTAGTCCTAGGTTAGTCCTGGCCGTAAATCAGTTTCAGTCCACCCCCATTGTCTGACAGCCATCATGCTGCGGCTCTGAGATTGAGCCATTCTGGATGTTAAACTGACTGTCAACCAGGAAACAAACTTCCTCTCATTTCTCTGTACATCAGTGTCTAAGATGGATGGCTTTCAATGGACCTCATTCATAATAACATAACATACATTTAGCACAGCTGTGACAGGCCAAACACCGTGGTATTTGGTCAGTTTCTGTGGTCAGGGCTACTGCCTGATGGTAGTTGGAATCATGCTGTGATTTTGTAAAATTCTGATTTCAGTAGTATTGATTTTTACTTGGTGAATATGTATGTTAAGTGTAATCCTGGGTTAGGTTTTGTTTCAGTCCTGGTTAAACACCAAACCAGAACTAAAACCCACATTTTAGTTCTGGTTTGGTCATTATTTGGTCCAGGTGTATCCAAGAGGTCATCCCAATATACTCAATGTAGATCTGTTTCAGTTCTTTTCATTTTACTTAGTTAGTGCACTTTGAAATTCAAATTACGTGTGATACTCCAGCACCATGCAAAGTCATCAGTGGTAAGATAAGCCTGAAGATAAGAGCACAAAGATCCATTTTAATGAGAGACTATGGATGCTCTTGTCAGAAATGTACAGCCTATTATTGGCCCACTGCTGTGCTGCCTTGCAGGGATGCTGCGTACTCTGTTTGCCCTGAATGCATTTGTACACCACACATTTATGCACAGCCATAGTCAGTATTTACGTACAAGTGCAGCTGTGAAGATTTTGTTTTCCAGTGTTTTGCTGACTGCTGTTTTGCACATGAAAAATCTCTCTTGAAAGTAGAGCCTAGTGTCCTCCCATGCACCTGGCCAAAGCATATACACAGCAAACAGCATGAGCTATTTAAAATGAGATTATTCCTTGTGTGGGTGAGGGCTAAAATTGTACTAGTCCTGCTGCTATTGTGTTTACCACAGACACAGAACATATGTTGCACTGAGTGCTGGGTTATAACATCAAACCCCAACATTTGAAAGGGAAGATTTGTGTGTAAACAGAACACTTAACAGTAGTAACATAGCACTACTGTGGTGGTGACTTTCATTAACCTTGGTAGAAGGGCCGGTGCTGCATCATCAGCGCATGTAGGAGGTGAGTTGAAATATATTGGACCTCGTGACAAGAGAGTTCAAAGGTTGCTCCTCTGGTGGAGTGGAGCCAGAGAGCTGCTGAGGGGGCATTACCAACAGCACTGCATCAGCATAAGTCATCCCAAATGAGGTCCTGAAAGAAGATGCTGCTGTCTGCTGCTCGGGCTACTGCTAGTCTGCCATTTTAAGCATGTGGGTTGAACTAGAGACAGAGAATGCTAAACCACGATCCCTTGGCTAAAGCAGGAATAAAACTGGACTAAGAAAAAGTAAACAGGCTAAGACAGGACTAGAATTTTAAAATTATATAAAGAAAAAGACCAAATCACGAATGAGATTGCACCAGCTGATATAAATTACAGCAATTTTCGAATCCAATAGCAAAAAGCAATTTCAGACAACAGTCTTACAGTGTAATATCTGTAATAAGAGCATAAATAAGGAGACCCTAGTATTTAATCACTCTGTCACTTCTGTTAATCCTGATCCGTTTGCACTTGATCAGTTCTCCTGTAGAATGAATCGGTTCATCAGAGCACAAGGGCAGACTGAGTGCACACGTCTCTGCATAAATAAGCACGTATCCTCTGTGTAAAGGATAATGTGAGGGCTAAATGTGCTATACAAATTCATCATTGTCTCAGGGAGCATGAAAATGTGATTTACTGTTATATGCAGAAATCAAACTCAAAGGAAGGTCTTTGGATGAAATACATCAGTGATAGTTTAGTATGTAATGTATGTGAATAGACCATTTAGAGATGTATAAATGAATGTAAACAGTTGGGACAGACATTCAGAATACTATAGCAAAAGATCCAGCTAATTTACCAGTATTGGATCAGTGCATCCCTATCCAAAGTTATTATAAATAACAACATATTATATTATATAATTTTATAAATTATAATATATAATATAATTACTTACTAATAAGTAAATAACAAGATGTTTAATGTGTATAGCGTGCACCCAAAGCATTTTTTTTTTTTTTTTTGCATTTACAGTAAGTTAAAATTATGATGTGAGGGGATTTCTTTCCAGAAGTCATTAAATAATTTCCATGGCTGCATATATCTTTCCTGGTTTAAGAATAAAATGACTTATTTTGTGTATTTAATAAATATGCCCCGACAGGCTGCTGTGAGCGGATGGGGAGGACGAGTTTTGTGGCAGATCCAAAATGACAGTCAGGAAGTGAGATGTACTGCATCAGAAATGAGGGAGGAGAATGAAGGTGACAGGAGCCCAGACAAAACTCTGACTCAAATATGCGACTGTTAGCCCTAGCCTTCTGCAGAATGTTCCAACAAACATTGTTGAATATAAATGTAGTCTATGGAAGATATATTTATCCAAGACAACTGAATGGCTTGATGCCTCTTTTTGAAGTTTACAGTCTAAATAATATGTCATCAAGGTGAAGATCATACAAAACTGCAGATTTTTTTCAGACCACACATATTATCTGAGACCCTGGATAAATGAATACTTTTACAGGCAACCACAAATAATTTAATCTTGGTCCTACTCCTACACACAAGTAGATTTTTACATTTAA